TAACAATTGCTGAGATAATCAAGCGATAGGAGGTTTAGCACGAAGCTGGGATCTAAGTGCTTGATACGTCCTGCCACTAATTTGTTATTACCATTAGTTGGGGATGCTCCTTCCTCTATTTTTATTGCAATCGCCCTACTTTCAGATGTTGCCATATTTAGGCTGGGTTATAGATACTGCTGCTTAATTTTATCCTGCTTTTAGATTAACCTCAACTCATCCTGTAACACGCTTATAAACCAGTATTCCTTAAACATCCTGAAAGTCTCTAGGTCAGAATCCATGAGTTTCTTACTACATATGACTTCCAATCCCCACTCCTGTCAGTAACTTCTCAGGCTCTTGAGTGTTCACCTTGCCTAGTGCCTGTTCAGGTATGCTGTGGTGATGGATGGTATAGTCTCTGGGATTCTATCACCTGCTTAGATAACTATGTAATTTTCATCATTTCCAAATTTAAGCTTTCTATCAAGGCTAGTTCTCTGCTCTTAACATGTCTTGTTCCTGCCTTATTCCTAGGATGCCATTGTTTCTTGGATAAATATACGTATAAATCAGAGCTTGAGGCTCTAATGGAAAAACCTAAAAATATAAACAAAAGCCAAGAAATGAAAGAACTGGACTGTTGTGCAATATCTTTTTTTTTTTTTTTTTGCCAGTCCTGGGGTTTGAACTCAAGGCCTGAGAGCCATCCCTAATGCTTCTTTTTGCTCAAGGCTAGTGCTCTACCACTTGAGCCACAGCACCACTTCCAGCTTTTTCTGTTTATGTGGTGCTGAGGAATCGAACCCAGGGCTTCATGCAGGCAAAGCAAGCAGTCCACCACTGAGCCACCTTCTCAGCCCGTTGTGCAATATTTTTAAAAGCATGCTTATTGCATTCTGATTTATTTACTAGCTTTAAACTGCCAATTAGATGGCAAATGACTTTTCACATAAAAATTAGGGCAAGGTCTTTCCTCTTCCTCTATTAAACTTAGAGAGTTACGTACCAAGTCATGCCCAGTGAAGCATCCCGGCATCACAGAAGATCCTATGTGTATGTACTCACAAACACATTTAATTGTCAGCTCCTGCTTCTTCACATTAGCTCTGTTTTTTGCCTAAGTTAATTCATTTCTTCTTCAAAGGATATGGACTAACCATAGACCACTGTGAACAAAGGAGAAAGCTGAAAACTGCAACCAGGGAGGTTTGAGTCCATAAAGCTAGGAGTGACACCAAGAGGTCTACTGGTCGAGGCAGTTGATTTTAAAGAAATCTCGAACTTCAAATCTTTAAAACTTTAATACTGTCACACACACATACCCTCACAAGTAATTACAGGAAGAACTGGTACATTTGTGCAAGGTAGGCACTATACTAATACTCAAATATAGGTTATTTGAATTCAAAGTGAACTTTCACCCCACAAGTATTTATTGAGCATCTGTTCTATTAGGGAAAGAGAAGTGATATACGGATAAAATTCTTTCCCTCAGTGAAGGAGCGACCCCTTCCCAAACAAGTGCTTTACATTAATGCCCAGGAAAGGTAAGTGAGCAGTGCTGAAACTGAACTGTGGAATATCAAGAACTCTTTTTCCTAGATCCCAGCCTACTCTAAAGCTAACTGTAAATTTCATAGTTTCTGCTCTATATATTCCCTTTCTTTTTTTTTTTTTTTTTGTCTGTCATGGGGCTTGAACTCAGGGCCTGAGTGCTGTCCCTGAGCTTTTTCACTCAAGGCTAGTGATCTACTACTTTGAGCCACAGACCTACCTCTGGTTTTCTGGTGGTTAGCTGGAGATAACAAGTCTCATGGGGACTTTTCTACTCAGGCTGGCTTCAAACAGCAGCGGTCCTCAGATCTCAGCCTCCTTAGTAGCTAGGATTTTAGGCATGAGACACTGACGCCCAGCTCCCTTTCTCTTTAAACATCAAATTCAAACATGATTATCCGTAATTCATGACTTGACTTACTAGCCTCATGGTATCTTAGATCCCCTTCTTCATTATTTCATCAAAACAATTAGTGTAGTTTTAATGTCAAGCTCAACATTATTGGATTGCTCCAATGATTAAGCATCTACTTTAGTAACAAGCTCTTTTCTGATTCACCAAACTCTCCAATTAAAACAGGCTCTTTTTGCACAAGGAGAAAGGAGTTGGTTGCCTGCAGGGAGGCCACATGACATGCCTGAGAGGAGGCAGGGGTTGCTTGAAGCTGAAGTTGGGGGTCACAAAATGGTTATGGAATAAATAGGGACTTCTAGGGGTTCAAAGAACTCCAAGGACACAGCTGCATTGGGACATATGTGATACATGCTTCTTCTTAAGACATTAAGAAGGGTTAAAACTACAGAAAGATGAAAGATGGAAAGTTGTAAAGTTCAGATGGCACACAAAGGAGTGACGGCTTACTCGATTTGTTTTTGAGTCAGGGTCTTTGTTGTTCAGGCTTCCTGCCTCAGTCTCCCAAGTGCTGACTTAACTTGTTTTCTTATCCTGGCTAAATTGTTACTGTTTTTGTGGCCCTGACCCAGGACAAGAGATTCAAAATCAGTTCTTTTCCTTTCTTAACTAGATTTTTGTCTAGGAAGGGCAATCATTAAAAGAGGAAAGATTATCACTAAAATCAATTCTCATAATCATCTCAGAGGCTGGTACAAAAAAAATATTCATTGGTGAAATGGAGAAACAAGTATTACATAACTTCAGTTCTCAATCTGGAACACATCTCTAATTGCTGTAGCTTCCTATTAATAACACTTTGATGCTCTACCAGGATATATCCAGGACGTCTAGGGTGCTGTTCTAAAGTCACAGGGTAAATGTTGCTGACAAAACTAAGTGTTCTCAGTGGAGCTTGAGTAGTAATTCCTCAGCTAAGCATGTTGCAAAAATAGGGTTAGAGATGGAAAGCATGCTTAATCTGATAATCACTGACAGAAAATGTCGGTAATTTCTCTGGAAGAACAAGCCCAATTACTCATAATGTGCCATACTGAGTAGTGCTAAAAAGAAAAGACACAGTGCATTAATTTAGGGCTGACACAACATCACACATCCACATTGTCTTGCTGATCTCCCCCCACTTGTTTCCCACAAAGTAATGAAATTATAATAGCTAATGGCACCTTCTTACGCAGTAGCATAATGGGAGGTGTAACCTGGGTTTTGGAGTCAGATCTAGGTTAGAATTCTGGTAGTATCTACTATACAGCTAAGAACACTAATTTCATCATAACGTTCTGCTTTAATGCTCATGAAAGCTGGACATAGGTTCTGGTGAACTTTTATTTATTTTTTTTGGGTCCGGTCGTGGGTCCTGAACTCTGGGCCTGGGCGCTGTCCCTCAGCTCTTCAGCTCAAGGCTAGCGCTCTACCACTTGAGCCACAGCACCACTTCCGGCTTTTTTCTTATGTGGTGCTGAGGAATCAAACCCAGGGCCTCATGCATGCAAGGCAAGCGCTCTACCACTGAGCCACCTTCCCAGCCCCTCTGGCGAACTTTTAAACAAGAAATACAGAACAAACTGATCATATTCCTGATAATCATCTAGTTGCTGGTCCAATGATAGTCTTGATAGATGCCTACTGTATTGCAGAAAGCCCTTTGTTTCTCAGCATTTACTCAGCCATAACCAGGGTTCACAAGAACCCTGGAGAAGTCTCAGGAAATTGAAGTTAGCCTAGAATTCTTCATATGCTGCTTACCTTCTCCTGGACGTCCTCATGGCATTGTCCTCTCTTAACACTTCAGTGTGTTTGCTCTTTAGCTTTTTTCTTTATTTTTTTTCCAGAGTTGTGGACTAAACTCTGCCTTGAACTTGCTAGGCAAGTGCTCTTCCCCTGAGTTAAATCCCCAACTCCACTATCATATTTTTTGTTTTTGTGTCTCTCAACGTGCCTGAACTTTGGGTCTGGGCGCTGTCACTCAGCTCTTCAGCTCAAGGCTAGCGCTCTACCATTTGAGCCACAGTGCCACTTCTGGCTTTTTCTGCTTATGTTGTACTGAAGAATTGAACCCAGGGCCTCATGCATGCAAGGCAAGCACTCTACCACTGAGCTACCTTCCCAGCCTCATCCACTATATTTTTATGTTAGCCACTTTTTAACATGCATTTATATGCTGTTAATAAAGATTTTTTTTTTGTTAAAATTACGTGCATTTCAGGTTTCATACAAAAAGAACTGGGTCAAGACCATGTTTCTTCAACTATATTCAACTTTGTATCCTTTTTTGGTTTGTTTGGTCAGTTGTGGGGCTTAAACTCAGGCCCTGGGTGCTTCCCTGAGCCTCTTTGTGCTCAAGGCTAGAGCTCTACCACTTGAGCCACACCACTTTCGGTTTTTGAGTGGTTTATTGGAGATAAGAGCCTCACAGAAACTTTTCTGCTCCGACTGTCTTTGAATCTCGATCTCCTGAGTAGTATTTCAGGCATAAGACACCAGCGTCCAGCTCAACCTTGTATTCTTAAAAAAAAAAAAAAAGTGTGAAACTTCCAGGTTACAGTCTCCATTTCTGGATAGTTTTATTACTTAGGCTAAAGGCCATTGTAACTCAATAAATGAATTGAACAAAATTGGTGGTATTCAAAAAACCTGCATACATGAACATCCTAAGACTGGAAAAATAAACCTTACATGTGTTTATGTTTTTGTGTTGATTCTGGGGCCTTAACTTAGTGCCTGGGCACTGTCCCTGAGTTTTTCTGCTCAAGGCCAGTGCTCTACCACTTGAGCCACAGCTCCACTTCCCACTTTTTGGTGGTTAATTAGAGATAAGCATCTCATAAACCTTCCTGCCTGGGCTGGCTTCAAACTGCAACCCTTACATTTCAGCCTCCTGAGTAGCTAGGATTACAGTCATGAGTCATCAGCACCCGGCTCATTATGCTTTATTTTGGTACCATCTCTCTGGTTGTTGGTATAAATTTTAACAGCCTTTTCTGTGTTCTGAAATTAATAAGCATTATTGAAAAAAATGAAGCCTGGCTGGAGTAGAAACATCCATAGCCAGATTCAAGCCCTTTCTACAGAAACCTTTCTACTTTAGTGGGTATGTTTACCCCCCAGCACTTAAGGAAGAAAGGTCTAATGTCACTATATGGGGGTTGAAATAAGTGCCAAAGGAAAAGCAGTTTCCACCACCTCCAAGGAGGAGGAGCTGTTGCTCTTCAGAAAGGAGGATGCTGGTATGGTTGTGTAACATTAATGGCCATGGCACGCATGTTGTGTCAATCTGATACTCAGAGCTCAGTCCTGTAGTCAAATCTATAACAGTCACGCCAGGAACTGAGGAAGAGTGAATCCAGACTCCTCCAACCAGTAGAAGCTTTCCATTGAGTACATGAGCGGTGTGGGAATACCTTGGAGTAATGGGAGGCTGGATATCTAGTGATTCCCAGAGGAATCCAGCAGAGACTGGCTTCAGAAAGAGTACAGAGTTCAACGGCTCCTCAGAAGCCCCAAGACCTCCAGCAATAAGGGCTCCCCCCTGCCAACTGCAGGCACTGTGGGAATGCCGACCTTCAGGTACTTCCCCCTCCACCGAGATCCAGACCCAACTCATTGTCCTTTCGTGGAGGAAATGCCAGTCACTCAGTACGGGTTCCACCACACCCCGTCCCCCATACACAAACAAATATTCCTGATTCTGATAGGATACTTCTGTTGTTGAGTGCCTCCAACGTGATAAGATTGAATCTCCTTCCAAGTCGACCTTTGTTACTGCCACCTTCAGGTCCTCGGGGTTATGGCCCTCCCTTCCGCATAGATGAAGCTGGAGAACCCCCAAGGCTGGATTTACGGGAGACAGTCTCCCTCCCAGAACCAGAATCTGGGTATCAGAAAGATGTGTCATGGTGTGATAAAGGCGTCCATCCCACCGGGCTTCGGTCCCACCACTGCATACTTGGCTGTCTTTCCAATCAAAGCCACAGTGTCTGGAGAGCAAGTGGAACTTGCTCACTCGGCAGTGCCGACCATCCTGTTCTCCAAACCCTCCCGCGCTGAGAATAACGCCGGGGCTCACCAGGACGGAGGCATGGCCGTATCGCTTAAGGCGTGAGCCCTGGCTGTCACTAGTGACGACTCTGGCGGGGAAGACCCCGGCCGGTGAAGCAGGATCGACTCGTGAAAACGCCCCTGACGGGGGAAACACCAGAGTTTGGGGCGGGGTGTCTCCCGTGGAAGCTGCCAAGACGAAATAGTGGGAGCATTTCAGATGCCACTCTTCGAACTCATCGAAGGGCTCGAGCTTTTCCACCCGCCGGCGTTCTTCCGCAGGGAGAAAGCGGCGATAGAATTCATTCATGTCCACGGCACTGCAGGCCGTCCAGCCGGCTTGAAGGAAGCGGCGGCGCTGGGCCTCCACGTCGGGAAAGCGGTCCAGGCCGTGCAGCGGGGAGTTCAGCCGCCGGAAATGCTGCAGCATGACCTGCCCGAAGGCGTCCCGGGGCTCCATTTGCTCGTAGACCACGAAAAGAGCGCGCGGGAAACGCTGGGCGGCCCAGGCGATGAGGTCCGCGGCGCGATCCGGCTCCAGGTAGGTCAGCACCGCCTCGGCCAGGAGCAGAGTGGGCGAGGCGGGGTCCAGGCCCGCGGCCGCCAGGGCCCCCTGCAACCGCTGGAGCTGCCGCAGGTCCAGGCCCAGGATGCGGTAGTCCGTGCCCTCCAAGCACAGCGCGGACGACGGGTCCCCGGTCCGGAAGGGCCCGGTGAACGCGCACAGAGCCGGCGTGTCACCGATCCTCTCCGCCTTGCGCCGCGCCACCTCCGGGAAATCCACCTCCCACACGGAAGCCCGGGCCAGCAGGCCCGCCGACTTGAGGCGGAAGTACAGCGAGTCGGAGCCGGCGCCCAGGGACAGGATCTGAGCGGGAGGCGCGGCGGGGAGCGCGCACGCACGGCTCAGGAAGGCGCGCACGCAGTGGCGCACGGCGCGCGCGCGCACGTAGTAGCCCCGGTGGATGAGCGGCGCGCGGCGCGCGGCGCCCGGAACCAGCAGCCCGGCGAAGGCGTCCTCCACGTACCCGCGCGCGGCCAGGGAGCTCTTGCTCAGGGCGCTGCTGTCGTTGGTGCTCTGCACAGCTCCCGTTCGACGCTCGCGATTGCGCGGGCCCATGGCCCAGGAGAGACTTGGGAGCGGCAGCCGTCGCTGGGGTGAACGGCCCACCACCGTACGGAAGACTCAGGCCAGCGCCACGGCACCAACTTCCGCTCGCATGGTGCGTCAGTTCCGGGATCGGCCCCTTTAGCCAATCAGGATCGAGGAGGGTGTGGCCTGTACGAAAATTCAACTGCGGTTGACCCTAGATTCCCGGGAGCTGCCGGCTGCGTTCCGCGGTTTGTCGGCGTCACTTTCCAACAAACCTTCCAGTCGGAGGGCGAAATTCCCCTCCTATGTAATTGTCCTCCTATGTAGGAAGAGGTGAGTCTGGGAAGTGACGCCTGACTTCCTTAGGCAGGGCTGGGTAAGACCAGAGAAGGGTCAGCACCTTAGTGGACGTTCCTAGGAATGGATGCTAGCAGTAGTTGCTGATTAATTCAGCTGCTCTCCTCGTTGCAAAAGAGAACCCGTTTACATCGAGAAGCAAATCAGGCCAAGTGGAAAGGGAAGAAACTGACCTTCACAGTATTTACAGTAATTTCCCCCCCCCCCCCCATAGATCCATACCAGCGATTCCTCGGAGGGCCAGCCCTGGGTTAGGTTGACTGTGAGTTAACCCACTCACTCTCAACTGTACCGTGAAACTCTCCTCCACTCCCCAAATCCTCATTCTAAAGTAGTAGCGAGTCTGTTCTCAGAAGGTGGTCGTAGAAGAGGCGTGCCTTGAACGTTTGAATAGGGCTGGGAAGATGGCTCAGTGGTAGAGCGCTTGCCTTGCATGCCTGAGGCCCTGGGTTCCATTCCTCAGCACCACATAAGCAAAAAGAAAAAAAGCCAGAAGTGGCGCTGTGGCTCAAGTGGTAGAGCACTAACCTTGAGCTGGACAGTGCCCAGGCCCTACGACCGGACCAAAAAAAAAAAAAAAAAAGCAGGACGTTTGGATATTTATTTTTCCTCATTTGTAATACTGTATATTAGTTGTGCAAAGGGGTTTTACTGTGATATTTCCATACTTGTATATAATGTACTTGATCAAATTTATTCCCCATTACTTTTTTTTAATCCTCTTGTCCCCTCTTTATTCAACAGTTTTCATGATTTCATTACTCTGTTTTCATACATGCTTAAAGTGTACTTGAGTTATATTCACCCCATCTCTCTGTCCTTTTACCATCCCCTCTCCCATTTGTTTCCACCCTCAAACGTTCTTCAGGTTTATAAGCAGCCTTTTGTAAAATTCTTGTACACAGCAGTCTTTTTCATAATAGAGCAAAATCTGAGGCAACTAAGATGTGAATCAATAGGAGTAGCTAACTAAGCCTTCTTTTAAAAGCAGCAGCAGCTCAGGTTCAAGTTTTAAATAACCATTAAGTTTCTTCTTTTTTGTTGTTGTTGTTGGTCGTGTGGCTTGAACTCTGGGCCTCTCAAGGGGAGCTCTCTACCGCTTGAGCCACAGCGCCACTTCCGGTTTTCTAGTGGTTTATTAGAGATAAGAGTCTCACGGACTTTCCTGCCTGGGCTGGCTTTGAACCCTGATCCTTGGATCTCAGCCTCTTGAGTAGCCAGTATTATAGGCATGAGCCACCGGCTCCCCGCTAACCATTAAGTTTCTAAACTGGTTACCTAAGAATCTTAGGTTCCTAATAACTTGGGTGTGTCTGTGGGGAGGTAATGATTAGTAAATAGTATCTCTTCCAGAGATATTTAGAAAATGTATAATTCTCCAAATTGGATCTCTGGCTGATATAGAGAAGGAAGTCAATTTGACTGTAGCACATTGTTGTTAAGACAATAAGTTTGGGAGGCTGGGAATGTAGCCTAGTGATAGAGTGCTTCCCTAGCATGCATAAGCCCTGGGTTCGATTCCTCGGTACCACATTAACAGAAAAAGCCAGAAGTGGAGCTGTGGCTCAAGTAGTAGAGCTCTTGCCTTGAGCTGAAGTGCTCAGGGACAGCACCCAGGCCCAGAGTTGAAGCCCCTCAATCGACCAAAAAAAAAAAGAAAAAAGAAAGAAAGAAAGAAAGAAAGGTAAATTTTGGAGTCTAGCAATTTGCATACTGGAGTTAAAAACAGAAACACCTTGGTATTAGGGTGCCAGTGGCTCACTCCTATAATCCTAGCTACTTGGGAGGCTGAGATCAGGAGGATTGAGGTTTGAGGTCAACCTGGGCACACTTGTAAGACTTGCTTCTCAATAGCTAGTTGAGGTGGTGGTATATACCTGTCATTCTAGCTATGAGGGATCCAGAGTATCGAGCCTCCAGACCAGCCCACAAAGAAGAGTGCTCCAGATTCCATCTTGAGAGAATAAAATGGGTTTGGTAACATGCACTTGTCATCCTAACTACAGTAGAAAGTGAAAAAATAAGAGAACCGGACTCCAGACACAGGCCAGAACAGGAAGCCAGACCCTATCTTAACAATTAGACAGTGCTAAAAAGGACTAGAGGCATGACTGGCAAGCCTGAGGCCCTAAGTTCAAACCCCAGTACCACACACACACACTTGAATCAGAGTGATTTATTTTTAGTATTCAAGCACTCATTAATGATTTTAAGGAGAGCAGTTTGGCACAGTGAGGGCTGAATTCAGTTTTTCAGTGGATGAGAGACAACTTAATGTACGCATCTAGTCTAAATTTTGCTTTCAAGGAACTCATGTCAAAAGGAAGAGAGAAGCCAGGTGCCAGTGGCTCATGCCTGTAATCCTAGCTACTAAGGAGGCTGACATCTGAGGATCTCGGTTCAAAGCCAGCCTAGGCAGGAAAGTCCATGAGACTCTTATTTCTAATTAACCACCAGAAAACTGGAAGTGGCGCTGTGGCTCAAGTGGTAGAGTGCTTGCCTTGAGCTGAAGAGCTCAGGGACAGTGCCCAAGTCCAGAGTTCAAGTTTCAAGAAAAAAAAAAAAAGTAGAGAGAGATGGTGCAATAGCTAAAATAGACTTTCAGAGGAGTTTTTTAATTTGTTTTTTAGTTAGAAGATAATGAAGACTTTCAGAGAAGTTTTTTGTTTTGTTTTTTAGAAGAAAGTACATTCTGCACTTGCATTTTGTTCTCTGAGGGAAATCACCTAGTGGAGAGAGAAAGACCTAAAGGATCAGAAAAACAATGATAGCTTACTAGTGGAGTAGCAGCTTGAAATAGGTAGACGTGAGATGCTGAGCATTTGAGTAATTCCAGGGTTTAACTTTGTGTGTATGTGGGTTGGTGGGTGTGACAGTCCTGGAGCTTGAACTCAGGGACTGGTCTCTATTCCTGAGCTTCTTTTCTCAAAAAGTACTTTAGTGGAATAAGAGTCTCACAGACTTTTCCTGCCCAGGCTAGCTTCAAACTGCAATCCTTAGCCAGGCATTGGTGGCTCACGCCTGTAATTCTAGCTACTCAGGAGGCTGAAATCTGAGGATCCTGGTTTAAAGCCAGCCTGGGCAGGAAAGTCCGGGAGTCTCTGATCTCTAATAAAAACCACCAGAAAAACTGGAAGTGGTCCTGTGGCTCAAGTGGTAGAGCACTCACCTTGAACTGAAGAGCTGAGCTACAGCACCCAGGCCCAGAGTTCAAGCCCCAGGACCGACCAAAAAAAAAAAAAAAAACCCTACAATCCTCAGATCTCAGCCTCCTAAGTATCAAGGATTACACATGTGAGCCACCAGCATCGGGCTCCAATACAACTCTTACTATCTTGAAGCATTTCCCTGTTTCCTTCTTCTTGTTTTCTAATAATTTCCCAACTGTAAACACTCTTAATTTGGGGTTTTTTCTTTTTTTTTTTTTTTTTTTTTTTGGCCGTGGGGCTTGAACTATGGCCTGGGCGCTGTCCCTCAGCTCTTCAGCTCAAGGCAAGCGCTCTACCACTTGAGCTACAGCGCCACTTCCGGTTTTCTGGTGGTTTATTGGAGATAGGAGTCTCACGGTCTCTCCTGCCGGGGCTGGCTTTGAACCGCGATCCTCAGATCTCAGCCTCCTGAGTAGCTAGGATTACAGGCGAGAGCCACCAGCGCCCGGCTGGGGTTTTTTCTTTTAGTGAGTATGTATACAGTCTTGTTTCTTTAGATGTTTGTAGCTGAAAATATTCACATTTACTGAAACAGGTGAAATTCAGCCAGCTGTGTGGAAGAAATCTGAAGGAAATCCAGGACCTCAGAATTAACTGACTGAAATACGCTACACGGGTCAAACCAAGAATAACAGTGGGAAAGGGTCTTTTATTTTCTGCAAAAAATCACAATGGAGGCAGAAGAACAGCAGCCATGGAAAACAGACTTTTACTTGGAATTGCCCAAAGTGGTAAGATATAGATTTATTTATGTATTGGTCATGGGGCTTGAACTCAGGGCCTGGACACTGTCTCTGAACTCTTTTGCTGAAGGCTAGCATTCTACCACTTAGAGCCACAGTGGCACTTCCAGTTTTCTGGTGGTTAATTGGAGATAAGATTCTCACAGACTTTCTTGCTTGGGCTGGCTTCTAACCGTGATTCTCAGACCTCAGCCTCCCAAGTAGCTAGGATTACAGGGGTGAGCCACCAGCACATGGTTCAACTACAGAGTTCTTTTTTTTTTTAATTTAATTTTATTTTATTTGTGAACATACTGTACAGAGGGGTTACAATTACATGGGCAGGATAATGCATACATTTCTTACCAAGCATTGCAGCCTCCTCCTTTGGTTTACCCTTCACATCCCTTCCCAGCCTCCCCCCTCCCCCCCAATCCCAATCCTTCTCCTTCCCCCCTCCCCTCCCCTCCCCCTCCCCCCCCCCCCCCCCCCCCCCCCCCCCCCCGCACAACTACAGAGTTCTTAAGTGGTTGCTAATTATGACTTACATCGTTTCTATTCACAAAAGGAATTTTTTTTTTTTTTTTGTCAGTCATGGGGCTTGAACTCTGGGCCTGGGCACTGTCTCTCAGCTCTTCAGCTCCAGGCTAGTGCTCTACCACTTGAGCCACAATGCCATTTCCAGTTCTCTGAGTAGTTTATTGGAGATAAGAGTCTCACAGCCTTTCCTTCCTGGGCTGGCTTTGAACCGTGATCCTCAGTCAGATCTCAGCCTCCTGAGTAGCTAGGATTACAGGCGTGAGACACCAGCACCCGGCTAGGAAATAAATTTTATAGGTAGAATTTGTAAACATTAGAAGTTATATGGCTAAACCTAATTGACAATTTGCCTCTACGAACTACAAACATCCAATACCTGTTACAATGCTATATATCCAGTGGATACTTGGTAACTCTACTGATTTTGTTTTCTTCCTGTAGGAACTTCATGCCCACTTGAATGGATCCATTAGTTCTAATACCATGAAGAAATTAATAGCCAAGAAGCCAAATCTTAAAATCTGTGATCACATGACTATGATTGACAAGGGAAAAAAAAGAACCTTAGAAGAGTGAGTGTGGGGTGGTTGTAGAAATAATGACTTCTTCATCTATAAGTATTTTGAGATAGTAATAATTTAATGCATAAGAATTCAGATGTTTTTGTAGTTAAAAACAACAATAACAAAGTGTGCTGTGTACCAGTGTCTCACACCTATAATCCTAGCTACTCAGGAGACTGAGATCAGGGGATCATGGTTCAAAGCCAGCCCAGGCAGGAAAGCCTGTGAAACTTTTGTCTCCAAATAACTTCCCCAAAAAGCTGGAAGTGGAGCTGTGGATCAAGTAGTAGAGCACTAGCCTTGAGCAAAAGAGCTCCAGGCCCAGCAAATTAAAGAACAAAGAAGTGTGAGCATCTCACATGGAGAATATAGCAACATAAAATTTTTCCAACTGTCAAACCGTTGTAAATTATTCATGCCATTTGTGAGGTTAGGATGTTCTTTAGACCTAAAAATGTTTCCCTGTTTGCTGATACTGGCAGCAAGAGCCAAGGAAATGGCAACCAGCCAGGTACCAATGGCTTAGGCCTGGAAATCCTAGCTACTCGGAGGCTGAGAACTGAAGATCAAGGTTCAAAGCCAATCCAGCAGACAACTTCATAAGACTCTTATCTCCAATTAACCTGTGAAATACCAGACTGGTGTCATAACTCAAGTGGCAACACATCAAGGGGGAGCAAAAAAGCCCAAGAGAGTTTAAGGCCTTGAATTCAAGTCCAGATACACCTACAAAAAACAAACATAATAACAAGTAGCTGGATGTAATATTTTGAGACTGTAATCCTAGCTATTTGAAACACAGAGATTGGGGATTATGGTTCAAGGCTAGCCCAGGCATAAGTTCCCAAGACTTCATGTCAGTTAATGGATTGGCACAGTGGTGTTTGCCTGTCATCCCAAGCCATGGCAAAGCACAATTGCTGGATGCAGTGGCATGCACTTGTCATACCAGTGAAAAAGGGAAGCACAAATAGGAAGATCACAGTCCAGGTCAGCCGGAGCATAAAACAATAATCAGTGCAAAAAGAGACTAGTGGGGGCAGGAAGCTCAGTGGTAGAGTGCTGGGGCCCCGGGTTCGATTCCTCAGCACCACATGCATGAGGCCCTGGGTTCAATTCCTCAGCACCACATAAGCAGAAAAGCTGCAAGTGGTGCTATGGTTCATGTGATAGAGCGCTAGCCTTGAGCTGAAGAGCTGAGGGACAGTGCCCAGGCCCAGAGTTCAGGTCCCCTAACAGACAAAAAAAGAAAAAAAAAAGACTAGTAGAGTGACTTAGGCAAGAATTCAAACTCCAGTACAACCAAAATACAACAAGAAAGAATAATGCCTATTATTTCATGCTTAAAAATATATAAGTAACATTTTATTTTCAGTCATTTGATTATCTTTCCAAGTCATAGTGATTTTTTTAAAAAACTATTATGTAGTTCTTTATAAATATACACATATATGTACAGTTCACCTAAAATCTATTAATTCAGCTCAGGGGAGTGAGAACATCTCACTGAATGAGAAATGTTTGATGATTAGAATTTCTTAAAACCTTTCATTCGCGTTGCAGATGTTTCCAGATGTTTCACGTCATTCATCAGCTTGCCACTAGCACTGAAGATATCCTAATGGTGAGACATGAAGGAATTTCTAGAATGGTTTAAGAATTATGAAGTCATATGTGCCTTTCTGATCTTATATATAACCTTTTGTTTTCACCAAGAGGGTGATGAAAAAATATTTTCTTTTTCAATGCCAGTTCTTCAAAACCAGTGTAAGACATTGGCCTAAGAGCTTATAATATAAAAGCCAGTGGGAGTGAGTTATGATTCAGATTACTTGTAAATGAAGGGGCTCTGAGGGATCATGTTCCAGGCACTATACTTAGCACTACTTCCTGAAATAAGTTTTTGTTTGTTTGTTTGTTTCCTCTTTGGTGTTACTGAGAGACAGTGCCCAGGCCCAGAGTTCAAGCCCCATGACCGACCAAAAAAAAAAAAAAAGAGGCTACATCGTCTCTTATGTGGGCCTCATCTTTCATCTTTCCAGGCTGGATCTTTACCACTGCCCACAACTGAACAGACCCATGGAATCAACCTACCCTACCCCACCTCACTTAAGACTAATATGGATGTTTGAGAGTAGGCAGCTGGTAGAAGCAAGGGTTTGAAGTAGCAGTCCCTTCTAGAGACTGGACTGATCACATCTGCTATCCAGGGCCCTTTATTTCTGGGTGGTTAGGTACATATGAAACCAAATGATCAAAGGCTGCAGGCCAGCATGAGCACAAAAGGAGGGGTTATCTAGGCCACAGTGGGGCCTATGGAGTCATTCCTAACCTGTATCTTAGAACCTTTCCCAGTGGCTAACATCTGTGTCTACCAGGTTTAGCCCTTTCTGTTCCATGCATAGGTACTGAGGACAACTCTTCTGGTGCTTTCCTTTCTTAGGCTCTAGAGTGAGACTATCTACTTCAATTTTTCCTCCAAATAAGAGTACATCGCAATTAGGTTTCTGATGGGAAAGTATATGGGATCTGGAACTAAAAAGTGACAGAACAGTTGTTTTGCCACTTTCTGTGTTCGACATTAAAACAAATTACATTGAACTGCTTTTCTGAGGAGGAGGCACTGGGAACGGAATCCAGGGCTCTGTGCTGGCAAAGCAATGCCCTCTGCCACTGGGCTATACTCCCAGCCGTGGAACAATAGAACACTTATTAGGGTACATACAGTGGTGCATGCTTATAACCCCAAACTAGGGAAGCAGAGATCGAGAAGATCATAGTTTGAGGCCAGCTTCAAAGCAAACAACAAGAAAAGGTAGCAACAAGTCATATTTGTTGGCATATGCTTGTCATTCCAGGTATGTGAGAGTAAAAGTAGAAGGATCCAGGTCTAGCAGATTAGTCAAAGCAGATTAAGATTAGGGCCAGATGAAGGGTCCCTAGGGCCGTCTGTCCAAGCCTCCTCAGCCTGGTTTTAGGATTGGTCATAGAAAAGGAAAACACACCTTCATTCATTGTTGGATTGAACTCTGGGCCTGAGCACTGTCCCTCAGCTCTTCAACTCAAGGCTAATGCTCTACCACTTGAGCCACAGTGCCACTTCCGGCTTTTTCTGCTTATGTGGTACTGAGGAATCGAACTCAGGGCCTCATGCATGCAAGGCAAGCACTACTACTGAGCCACCTTCCCAGCCCTGTGTATACATTTCTTTTTTTTTTTTTGGGTGGGGGGGGGGGTCCGGTCGTGGGACCTGAACTCTAGGCCTGGGCGCTGTGTCCCTCAGCTCTTCAGCTCAAGGCTAGCGCTCTACCACTTGAGCCACAGTGCCACTTCGGTTTTTTTCTTTTTGCTTAGGTGGTGCTGAGGAATTGAACCCAGGGCCTCATGCATGCAAGGCAAGCGCTCTACCACTGAGCCACGTTCCCAGCCCTATGTATACATTTCTTAACACTGTGCGCACATCGATGGCTCCCACTGGTGTTGTCTTGTTTCTGTTTCATCACTCTGCTATTATGAACACATTCAATAAATGACATTAATCTGTACACTTGGTACTTGACTGGAACTCTAACATTGTCAATATCGTGTACATTATCAGATCACAAAGGATGTCATTAAAGAATTTGCAGACGATGGTGTCAAGTACCTGGAACTGAGGAGCACACCCAGAGAAGAAAACACTACTGGTAGGCTTTAATTACTTCCTAATAGATATACTATCCCTTTTCCTATGTGCTTTGGTCATTCACAAAAATTTACTTTCCAGTTGTGCTTACTTTGTGTCAACAAAAAAATCTTGTCATATACATTAATAATAGACATTATTCTGTGTGTGTTGTGTATTTGTGTTCATGAGAGAGAGATTGGTGCTACAGATTCAAACCCAGCCCTTGCATGTGCTAGGCAGCATTATACTCCTAAGCTATGCCTGTCTTCCCAGTGACATAAATATCAATGGGGAAATTATTTATTTTTATTATTATTTTTTTTTGGGGGGGGTCCGGTCGTGAGGCCTGAACTCTGGGCCTGGGCGCTGTCCCTCAGCTCTTCAGCTCAAGGCTAGCACCCTATCACTTAAGCCACAGCACCACGTGTGGCTTTTTCTGTTTATGTGGTGCTGAGGAATCGAACCCAGGTCCTCATGCATGCAAGGCAAGCACTCTACCACTGAGCTACCTACTCAGCCCCCTTGATTATTTTTCTTTTTTAAGAATTCTTTTTTCTTTTTTGTGTCCAGTCGTGGGGCCTGAACTCTGGGCCTGGGCGCTGTCCCTCAGCTCTTCAGCTCAAGGCTGGTGCTCTACCACTTGAGCCACAGTGCCACTTCCAGCTTTTTTCGTTTTGCTTATGTGGTGCTGAGGAATCGAACCCAGGGCCTCAGGCATGCAAGGCAAGCGCTCTACCACTGAGCCACCTTCCCAACCCTCATTCTCCCATCTTTAACCATGCCAGTCACAGCAGACCGAATGTAACTGCTCATGTAGGAATAGCAAAGGTGAAGGATCTAAGAGTTGATGGTCTCTTTACATATGCTTCCTATGTGTTCTTTCCAGGGATGACTAAAAAGACTTACGTGGAATCCATACTTGAAGGTATAAAACAGTCCAAACAAGAAAACTTAGACATTGATGTTAGGTAAGAAGGTCATACCTCAGTAGTTACCATTAAAAACTAGAATGCAAAATTTTACTATTTTGATCATAGGGGTAGTGGACTTCTAAAAATTAGCTGATTTCTGCTATAATCGATAAAAAATAGAATCAAGAACTCTAAAGCCTGTGATCCTAGCTACTCAGGAGGCTGAGATCTGAGGACTGCGGTTCAAAGGCAGCCAGGACAGGAAAGCCTGTGAGACTCTTATCTCCAATAAACCACCAGAAAACTGGAAGTGGTGCTGTGGCTCAAGTGGTAGAGCACTAACCCTGAGCTGAAGAAGAGTTCAGAGACAGACCGCTTTCTCATGCTGTGGGCTGGGCTGCTCTCTGTTTCTAAAACAGGCTGAGGCTGTCCTAGCTGAGCCCCATGTGCTGCCTGCCACCTGCCTTTCAAAGTCCTTGCACAGATGACAGTATTCACAGGGCTGCTTTGAGTATCTGAGTTCTGTCGAATCACAGCTAATAAATGAAGAATGAATTAGAATACTACTGATCTTGTAATCCTGTAATGAAATAAGGAATCTAGTTCTCCTGAAAGCATACCATCGCCTATTTATTCTTGCCAAAGCATTGAATCTGATGACCTAATTAGGCCTCTAGACGAGATGTCATTATCCATTTATAGGAACACAACAGAACACAAATGTGTTTACACAGAGATGGAATCAATGAAATCTAGACTCTGGGAATCTTAGTAGGACAAACAACTTGATTTTTTAAACAAATAAATGACCACAAAAGAGGTAGCGCAGGAATAAGGCTAAGGAATGAGTGGCTATAATAAAAGACTTAGGAGATATACTGACTGACTAGGCTGTGGCTTATGTTTAGATCCTGAATCAAACAAGTTAAAAAAATAAACATTGACTAGGTATTTGATGCTGTTTAGGAATTCATATCTGATCCTGCCTGACAAAGTCAGCCATGGCATCTCAGCCTAGGCTGTACCTCTCACCAAAATCCATGTCAGGTGTAGCCTGCCATGCTTCTCTAGCTACACTCGATTGTCTTTTCCACCTGCATCATTAGGAGTCTTGAGCTGTATTTTTCCTGTATTAAAAGGTATTTGATGGCAATTGACAGACGAGGTGGCCCTTTGGTAGCCAAGGAGACCGTTAAGCTTGCTGAAGAGTTCTTCCTTTCTACTGAGGATACAGTTCTTGGCCTTGACCTCAGTGGAGACCCTACTGTAAGTTACTTCTTTTAAGTAGCTGTTTCTCTCTTGAAGGTAGATTCAGACAGTGGGGTAAGGATTCACCTGGAGTAGCCCACGTTCTGCAGAGTACTCAACAGACACTGTGTGATTGAAGCCCTGTTTTGCCCTGGATGACCAGAACGTACAGAGCAGCTGCTATCAGGGTTCTGTGCAAGAACTATGTGACCATTTTTTTCCTTTCTTCAAAAGATTATGCACAGTGAATAATAATCTCTATGCATAGGAGAGAAGAAAATTCGTTACATACAATGGATTTTAGGGTGTTAGGAACTAATTATAGTATAGAAGCCCCAGGTAAGAATGTTTGGCCTGAATGAATGAACGAACTCAGTACTAGCACTTGAATCCAGGACATTGTAAGATGTTTAGCAACATCCCTGGCTTCTACCTACTAGATGCCAGTAGTATCCTCCCAGTGGGAAACCAAAAATGTCTTAGACATTAACAAATGTTCTTGAAGGGTCAAATCATTCCGGTTGGGAAATCACTAAGCATGAGTGTCCTAGGAAACTGGTTCTGATGGCTTGGCTGTGCCTTGACTCTTCTGCCCTTGTTCTCATCTACCCACTTATTTTCTTTAAGTAACCATGGAAGGTTCCCAAATCAAGTGAGTTTTCTGTAGCACTAGAAATACTATGTGGTGCCTGCCATACCCAGCTTAGCTGATGGCCTTCACCTGCACTAATACTGGAGTATTACTAATACTAATACTGCTCTTTGGCCAGCTTTCTATTCCCCTGAAGGTCCAGCACTTTGTAGGTGCTCCGTAAAGAAAATGTGCAAATGAATCCATCTGACATTATTTTTCCTGTCATTAATTTACTCCTTTTTTTTATTTGGGCAGAATATAATTCCTCAAATTGCCACACTTCTCATACATCCTCATTTTAACTTTTGTATTCAAGATAGGACAAGCAAAAGACTTCTTGGAACCTCTTTCAGAAGCTAAAAAATCAGGTCTGAAGCTGGCATTGCATCTTTCAGAGGTAAATAGTAATACCTTACATTGGAGAGGGTGGATTACAATAAAAATAGGACTAACTGTAAATAAACCAGCCTGGAAAAAGATGTTTAAAGAGAGAAACTAAAAATATTCTTAAATGTACATTAAAATAGTAAGGTATGGCTTGTTTTGGTTTCTAGTGTCACTGTTTAACATCTTTTGGCTTTTGGGAGTAGCTATTGACTCACATTCTAGCTTTGTCATTAAAAATAACTTCCTGACATATGGTTAGAGAAACTTCATCAATTTCCATCAGCCTTGCCGTTGGCAAGCTAACTCAGAAAACAACAGCAGCTCACCTCCCCCGTCTTTTATATATGGAAGGGTCCCAAATGCACTGCCAGTAAAGGAAGTAGCTCACCATCATTATGTAAAACTCAAAAAAAGATGCTCTTCATTGGCTCCTAGGGCCCTGCAGCATGAGCCCGGTAACCACCTGTGTGCAGAAAAACTGCCTTCTTAGGCACAGTCTAGTGAGGCAGAGAGCCTGCTGTACACCTCCCCCTATTACCGATAGATGTACTTTCTTCCTCAGAACTTTTATCTATTTGTTCCTTAAGTGCAGTAAATATTTATTCTACTTATTTCATAGCGTAATTATGTCTATTAAGTGGGGTGAGTGTAAAGGCTGAGTAACATTTTGACAAGGATTAAAAAAAAAATTAGAAATTCTCCCCAGTATTCATGTCTGTCAAGTGTATGAGCAGATTCAACAATTTTGTGGCAGAACTTAAAATCTAGAATCCACCTCTTTCCATAATCAAAAAGAACTCACACTCACAGGATGCCTGATCTGTGTGCAACAGAAGCCATTGGTTAGCATAGTAATAGGATGTGTTACGGTGATGAGTTATCTCTGGCCGTAAGACCCTCTCCTACTTCAGTCTGCTCCCCAGAATTAATACTGCTGTTTTTTTTTTTTTCTCTTAGAACTTCATGTAATACATAAGAATATACATACACAGAAAAGCACATGCACATACAGAGTTACAGGGGTTCATTTTTATTTTTGAAAATTAATTTATCTGAGCTTTATTTGTACTTAAGACTTTTTGTAAAGCCTTAAAAGAACTGCTGCACAAAATAAGGACTTAGTAAGTTTTTATTAATATTAAACCTAGAATATTTTGGGTAATGAATGAGAAGATACAAAAGGTGGAAGGGCTAGTGGTCTAGCTCAGTGGTAGAGCAGGTGCTTAGCAGGTGTGAGGCCCTGAGATCAATCACAGCAACAAGAACTAAATAACTAAAATTTAAAAAAGAAGAGAGCTGGTCAAGTTCAGCTTTCAAAAAGTATCTGCACTCACAACTCATAGGGACTGCATATCTGCTCTAGAACAAAAGACAGGTGCTTATAAGACTCACTGAAAGAAGTTACAAGGGGCTGGGAAGGTGGCTTAGTGGTAGACTGCTTGCCTAGCATGCATGAAGTCCTGGGTTCCATTCCTCAGCACCACGTACACAGAAAAAACTGGAAGTGGCCCTGTGGCTTAATTGGTAGAGTGGAGCACAGAGAGGCTCAAGGACAGTGCCCAGGCCCTGAGTTCAAGATCCAAGACCAGCAAAAAAAAAAAAAAGGAAGTTACAAATCCACTCTTCTCTTTTCTGAAGATTCCAAATCAAAAGAAGGAAACACAGATGTTCCTGGATCTGCTTCCTGACAGAATTGGGCACGGAACATTTCTGAACTCTTCCGAGGGAGGATCCCCGGAGCTGGTAGACTTAGTGAGGCAACACAAGATTCCACTGGGTAAGGTTCAGGATGACAGGTCTCCAGGGCAACCTTCTGACAGTACCATTTGAAAACCAAAAAGACAGTCATTGTAGAAGATGGACTTAACCTTGCCTAGAAGCAGCATGGATGGATGGTAGCTGGGATAAAGGTCTCCAGGCGTTTTCTTAAAGCCCTGAGAAAGGTCCAGGCTGCCCCTGCTCCATATGGCATGCTAACTCTCAAGCAAGGCCAGTTTTTATCTTAACTTCAGACTGGCCTTACCTTTAAGGGAACACTTTGTCACACTTCATACACTTTTCTGCTCCCCTCTTGTAATGATTTTCTGTACCACTTACCATGACTGGCTTATAACATTCCCCTTCCCTCTGTTTTGGGAAAAGCAACAGGGAAGCACATAGTTGCGAAGGGAATATCAATTCTTCGCTTAGGGTAGCGGCCACTGTAGTGTAGCACATACTTCCTGTGCAGCTGCATTAATGGAAGTACAGGTTTTCACACTCATAGGAAAGGTCAGTTTTATGCAATAAAACTTGCAAATCAGCATAGTTTGGGAAGGTTTCTTGTGAGATGTCTTGGTAAATACTGAGTGACTGACTTCACTTCCTTGTTTTTGATAAAAAGTCTTTTTCCTTTTCCCCCTCGTCTAGAACTCTGTTTGACCTCCAACATCAAAAGTCAGACAGTTCCATCTTATGGCCAGCATCACTTTGGATTTTGGTATAGCATTGCTCATCCTTCTGTGATCTGTGTAAGGAACTTTTGATGAAGTGTTTTGCTCTTTTTTAGTTGCTGCATTGAATTTGGTCAGACATTCCCTACCTAGCTCACTGCCTTGCCCTAGAAGAGAGGTTAGTAGAGATTGGGGTATGGGAGGGCTGCAAAAGGCAAGTAAAATCCTATTGTTTTACTATATAGAATTGGGTCCTGGACAGTATCTGTGCCTCGCATTTTATTTATTTATTTATCTATGAGGAGGGGGGGAGAGGGAGAGAGAGAGAGAGGACCAGCAGTTTATTGTATGAGATCCTGCTTTTTTTTTTTTTTTTGGCCAGTTGTGGGGCTTGAACTCTGGGCCTGGGCGCTGTCCCTCAGCTCTTCAGCTCAAGGCTAGCGCTCTACCACTTGAGCCCAGTGCCACTTTTGGCTTTTTTTGCTTATGTGGTGCTGAGGAATTGAACCCAGGGCCTCATGCATGAGAGGCAAGCACTCTACCACTGAGCCACCTTTCCAGCCCCTGCTTTCTTTAATATGAGGTGATCCTAGGCATGGATATCTTTTAAAAGCTCTGCGAGTGATTTTACCCTGCCGCCAGGGGTGAAACACTCTGGTTTTAAGTGTCAACAAGTCTCTTTAGTAATATATATACATAGATGTAATTGCAGACTGCTGAAAGAAGCATGGTATATAGAGAAAGGGACTCCAAACAAAAATGTTACGTTATTAATTAGTTGTACAAAGGAATTTTAACTCTTATCAGTTAGGTACAATGCTTCTTGATCAGTGTCACCCCTCAAAAATATTATTTTTTTGAAGTATTTCTGGGTTTATTTTAAAATGTTCTTTTTTTATATTGACAGACCGATGATAAGGGTGTTTTTGCAACATATCTTTCTCAAGAGTATCAGCTGGCAGCTGAGACATTTAATTTGACCCAGTCTCAGGTGTGGGATCTGTCTTATGAGTCCATCAACTACATCTTTGCTTCTGACAACACCAGATCTGATCTGAGGAACAAGTGGAATCGCCTGAAGCCCAAACTGATGGACTTCTGAGCTGTAATGAGGTGAAATACTCCTGAGTATATGTTGCGACAGAGATCCTCTTGCTACCCACTCAGTAAGCTGTCCACTGCTTCCTGGGAAGCATAGCAGCCAAGAATGTGGGCCTAGATGTCAGTACCTCACACATGTCTCAGCAAATACGCTACAGATGCCAGGCAGGCCCTGGAGTCTTAAACGTAGCTTCCCTCCATGTTGCTTACTGGAAGGAACTGGAGTTCCCCATTCCACCAGTGGTTGTTTTGTTTTACGTAGCAGTCCCTCTCCACTGATGATCATGAAACTTCAGGGAAGTCAAAGTAACTTCTTATCAAAAGAAGTGTTAGAATTACTAGTTTAAGGTAAAGGGAAACACAGATGGTTAACAAGACCTCTAATACTCCTAGCTTTTAATAATAGCTCTGTACTTTGTTGTACTTATTCCAGTCTCTCACTTCACTTGTTTTATTTCCCAAGATAACTGATGACAGGCCATACTGTATACTGGATCTGCATGGACATCTAGGAGTTAGGGTAACTAGTGACATGTAACACTGGCTGCTGGACACTGGTTTTGCTCTTCTCTCAAGGGTCTTTATCAGTACTTGAAAGGGATTAAAGTCATTGTTCCAGTTTAGAAATCAAAGGTGTGAGAGAATAAATGGCTAAGAGGTAAGAAAGATAGGACCCATTAGAACTTTCTTTAAAAAAAAAAACAAAAAACAATAATCTACTACTTTAGCTTTTTTTTTTTTTTTTTTTTTGTGGAAGCTGACAGGATTTATTCTCTAATTCCAAAAGATTCTTCTAGTAGTAGTAACAGCATGTTGGTTACTAGGGTTCTTTGAGTCTCCTCTGTACCCTCATCTTTATATGGTGGACTACTGGCACAAACTTCATAAACTCACACACATACACATCATGTTCTACTTGAGTTGAAGACCAGGGACAAGATTTAAAAATCTCTTCTGAATTTTTTTAAATAGCAAGGTACACTTAAATTGCTTTGCTGCTTAGATTGTATATTTTTCTTATCATTAAAAAAAAGTCTGATGACATTTCTAATTTCAGTTACTAAGAGGTTCCAATAAGCTCTGGATCTTTCTTTCAAGGAATAGGGTGAAGGAAAGCTCTTAGGTGTTTGAAGTTTGTAAACTTACATAGCCTTTATTATATTCTACTTCCATCCACTCACACAGATATTTCATAGTAAAAAAATTATGATTTACCTATAAAACGTGGATGTTTTATAGGCTCAAAATACTATAGAACAAAATTTAATGACATGGATAATATATCCAGTGAAAAATGTGGTTATAAACAATAGGCCACAATTTGATATATATACAATAGTTAGTAGGATGAGTGATTTTATTGCTCTTACTGTAAAGTTGTTTTCACAGTTCAAGAGCCAGGTTAGGCTGGACATGGTGGTGCACACCTATAATCCTAGCTACTCAGGAGACAGAGGCAGGATCATGACTTTTAGGCCCAGTTTGACTTAACATCAGATTTAAAGGAGAGTCTTGAATGTTTCCCCCCACAGACTGTGAGTAAAGTAAGGCTGTCTGCTCTTCATTTCTAGCCAGTATCTAAAAAAAAATTAAGAGTACAGATTAGAAAGGAAGATGTACAAGATATCTTTATTCCATATTAACTATATAATTTATTTACATAGAAAATCCTAAGGAATCTACTAGAACTAAAAAATGAGTTAATAAGATCACAAGATAGGGGATTCCATATATGAAAATCAGTTAGAAGCGCCAAGCCTGGCAGTATACACCTGTAATCTCAGCAGGAAAATCTCCAGTTTAAAGGCCAGCCTGAGCTTCATATCAAGACCCTGACTCAGAAACCAATGACTGAGAATGTAATTCAGTGGTAAAGCACTTGCCTAGCATGTGCAAGGCCATGGATTCAACCCCGAGCATGGAAAAAGAAAAATGACTTTAAAAGGCTAGGGCAGGAGCTTGGTATGGTGGAGAAACATCTCTGTAATTCTAGCACTCAGGAGACTAAATCATGAGTATCTTGAGTTAGAACAGCCTGGACTATTTAGTGAGGCTCTTCCTGTCTCTAATAGCTTAAATGAAACAAAATTGCCACTATCTCACTGAACTTGACCCCAGTGTTTTAAATATTGTTTCCTTAAATGTTAAAAATTTTCAGCCGGGCGGGTGCTGGTGGCTCACACCTGTAATCCTAGCTACTCAGGAGGCTGAGATCTGAGGATCGCGGTTCAAAGCCAGCCTGGGCAGGAGAGACCGTGAGACTCCTATCTCCAATAAACCACCAGAAAACTGGAAGTGGCGCTGTAGCTCAAGTGGTAGAGCGCTCGCCTTGAGCTGAAGAGCTGAGGGACAGCGCCCAGGCCCAGAGTTCAAGCCCCACGGCACCAAAAAAAAAAAAGTTAAAAATTTTCAAATGCCAGCTTTGGGTAACCAGAGATCTGTGAGACCTAAGAAATATTCAGGTTCTTAGTAAACATAAAAGAATAAAAACCTTACTGTGTAGTATGAGGTGAATGTCCCTTAGCTACTGTACAATGTTCAACAAATATGTAAATATGTTTGTAAATTGAATTCTATTTAAAATAATTTGAAGACTGTAAAGTTACTTCCCTGATTATCTATTGGGTTAGACGGTTGAACTAAATCCCCGTGGGAATGTATCTATATAAACAGACTTATCTATATACATATGTATACATATAATTACATATATATGTATGGATATATGCATACGCATGTGTGCCTTGATTCCCTATATGTATTTTGTTCATTTTCTTCCTCCCTCACCCCCTGCTATACCTAGCTCCCTTCTCTTATCTTGATCATAGTGGAGCGACACTAGCTGGACCCTTCTGAACTCTAAGGTGCTTTGGGATTCTATTTCCAGCTGTTGTTCCAAAGGCTTTTTTTGGAAAGAGCCCCATGGGTATAGTAGAAAAGGAGGAAGCTTCTCACATTTACTTTAGAAATAAACTGTAATAAAATAATTATATATACTATATGTAAAATGTTACTTTAAGCACCATAGAATTCCCCATAACATTTTGTATGTCAAAGCTCGGGAGACAGACCAAATAGTTATTATTTTAAGCCAGGCACCGGTGGCTCATACCTTAATCCTGGGCACTGTCCCTCAGCACTTCAGCTCAAGGCTAGCGCTCTACCACTTGAGCAACAGCGCCACTTCCGGTTTTTTCTATTTATCTGGTACTGAGGAATCAAACCCAGGGCTTCATGCTTGCAAGGCAAGCACTCTACCACTAAGCTACATTCCCAGCCTAGGGAGGCACCTTTCTTATTGGAGTATCCTGCGAAATGTTAAGCACATGGTGGATCTTATCTGGATGACTAAAACAGACTATTATCAAACTGGAGAGGGCCATGATCTTGTATAAGATCAGAATTCAAATTTTAAGTGAACTGAAAACATACAAAATGGAGTTTGATCGAGTTGAAAGAAGAAAAAACAAGTTCCACAAAATCAAGTACAAGGACAAGTGACTAGGTATAAATGCACTGGAAAAAACTATGAGTTTTAAGATTACCAAGTCAACAAAAATCATTGAATAAAAACAGGCAACAAGGATGGTGGGAAATTCTAAAGTAAAATTCTTAGACACTACCTAACAGACCCCACTGGGAAATAGATATAATTCAGCTTTTCACAATTAATAGATCTGAAGAACTTTAGAGTTCCAAAGGGAAAATTACAAAAACATAAATCTAAAGAATAGATGTTATGAGATAAAATGACAAAATAAATAGTTTAATTTGGAGAAGGAAAGCAACTGAAAGAAAGATGTACCTTCCAGGATACAAAATAATTCTATCAAGAAAATATTGTCTTATTACCAAGAAAAAACAGTTCCACCAAGTCCTAATAAAAACTAGGCAGACTTATCAAGAGAAAATACCAGAGTACTTACCATATCAGACAAACTATGTATCTTCAAGAAGTCTCAATAACCATATAATCTACTCCTGAAATCCCTTTTCCACTATTCCAACCCTACTTCCCAACTTAGAATGGCTCTCTTTATTTTCTCATTTGAACCTCCTCCTCACTGCTAGGTCCTTTGAAAAGGTCTGAGTTTCTCCTTTATCTCCTGTGGTCCCAGGTCTGGCCTTCTTGCCCTCTTTCTTGGGTACATCCCTGGGTTGGGGTTCTATTGACTCCTGAGGAACACTTAAAAAACTCCCATGTGAATTTCAAGTGTGATGTCTTCCTCTGAGCACACTTCCTGTCCCTTCACAGTGGCTGGGACCTAGAAACAGCTTCCATGGAATGTCACTGCAAGGTTGTAATGAGGTTCATTTCGAGAGGAGCTTATTTAGTATCCCAAGAGATCATCCTTCTGGGGCAAAACTAGGTTGTAGGGGTGGGGTGGTTACAACAAAGATCTTATTCCATTAATATGAGAACAGTTATTTTTCTTTCTGGGGAAAAAAGAAAATACCAAAATATAAACCCAACTGTAGGCTGAAAAAGAATTTCCTATTAAGAAATTGTAAAACCTAGAAAACTCATTGTAACAGGTCCTGTTACAATGGTAGAAGTTCCAGACAAGTGTTTTTGTTGTTTTGTTTTTTTTGCCGGTCCTGGGGCTTGATCTCAGGGCCTGGGCACTACTGTCCTTGAGCCTTTCTGTGCTCAAAGCAGGCGCTCTACCACTTGACCCACCGCGCTACTTCCAGCTTTTTCAGAATCGAAGGCAGGGCTTCATGCATGCTAGGGAAGCACTCTACTACTAAGCCACATTCCCAGCCCCAGGCAAGTGTTTTCTAAAGTTACCTACTACAGACCAAAAGTATAAGCATCACGAGAGCAGAAGTACATGGGAGCCTGTGTCCCTCTTTAAGCTTGTCTATGCATTAAATTGATCTCCTACCCTTGCTCCTTCCAATTGCACACTTTTGAGTTCCTCTCCCTTCTCACTGAATGTCTAGTGTCTAGGTCCTCCAAGCTTCCCCCCCCCCCCCCCCTAAATCTACTACCAGTTACTGCCTCCTCTCCATTTTCTGGACACTGATCCTGAATCCAATTCTGGATCTCTCCTGGTAAGACAGTCCAGAACTGCTCTAGCACCCACAGTTCTACAGTCGGCCTCTTGGTGCCCACTTCTGGCCTTAATGACCGACAGCGAAGTCCCCAGAGTTGGCCGAAAGCCTCCCGGCGCCCAGCCACCTCCTGGCAATGCAATCTTCTGAAGAGCTGTGAAGAATTCAGAGTGCCATTCCTGCACTGCGCAGGTCTGGCCATCTTTCAGGGCAGAAAGCAGCCCCCTCCACCGAAGGGTCTGGTTTGCAGACTCATCTTCCCGCGTCTTCGGAGAACCACCAGCGGATGAGTCTCCCCCTAGGGTAGGGGAGGACACCCCGAGGGGCATATTCCTTAGGTCTGAAGGCCTGCAGGCCTGACGTGGCGGGCAAGCCGAGCGGGCAGGAGGGGGAACCCCTCCGACGCTGTGCCTCCGGCTGGTTTCTGGGGCGGCCCGGGGAAGCTGCCTGCGGAGGGGAGTGCAGGCGCGGCCGGCTGCCCGGCTCCCGGCGGGGCGGCCAGGCCAGGCCAGGCCACGGGGGCCTGGCGGCTCCGAGGAAGGGCCGGCCCCGTCCTCCCCCGAGGCCGGGAGCCTCCGCCCGCCGCCGCCGCCGCCTCCCACCCCGGACGAGGCACGAGCTGAACGCGGTCTCAAGTTCTCCCGTGGCAGGCCAAGGGCCGGGTTCTGAGCTCCGAGAGCGGCGGGCAGCGCCTGGTCCTCGCTCGCTCCGGCCGGGCCGCTTTCTCGGGCGGAGGCCCCCTCCCGCCCGGCCCCGAGCGCGGCGGCCCCGCGAGCAGCCGCCCCGCCGCCCGCTGGCTCCGCAGCCGCCCCGCCCACCTGCTCAGCCGGAAGCCGGAGCGGGCGCGGAGCGCGCAGGCGCGAGGGCGGAGCCGCGGGCAGCGCCCGGACGCGAAGGGGCGGTGGGCGGCGCCCGCGCACTTCCGGGACGCGGCCCGCCTCCCCTCGGGCTCGTCTCGCGAGCTCTGGCGAGCCGCCGGGTCCGGGGCGCCCACCGGTCCCCGAGGGCGCGCGCGGGAGGGCGCGCGCGGGAGGGCGGGGGGACGTCGCCGAGGACCCCGCTGGCCGTGAGCATGATTCACGAGCTGCTGCTGGCGCTCAGCGGGTACCCGGGCTCCGTCTTCGCCTGGAACAAGCGGAGCGGCCTGCAGGTACGGTGTGGCGCCGGGCGCGGGGGGCCGGGCCCGGGGCCTGAGGAGGGGCAGGCTCCCCGCGTCGGGCCCGGTCCGGACGCCGCCTGCGGACCGGCCGCGGGGGCTCCGGCCGGGGTGTCGCGCGGGGCGCGGCGGGACGCCAGCCGGGCCCCGCCCCCTGTGTGTCCCCCCGCGCTGGCGTTCCGAGGGAAACCGGGGAGGAGGGCGCCGCGCGGCCCGGCTGCCGCTCCTCACCCGCAAGCGCCGGCCTCCTCCTCCAGCCGAGCTTCATTGGGGTCCCCGAGCTTTTTGAGGTCCACTCTTCCTCGCTGTCACCGGGAACGCGCCCGATGCTCCTCCCGAGGAGCTAAGGTATTAGCCCGAGTTTACAGAAGAGCAAGACTGAAGCTTAGAGCGCTCATGCTGGGTGGTACTGACCATGGCAGGCCAGGAATTTCACCACCAGGTCAAGTCTGATCCGAGGAGACCTCGCAGCAGGCCGAGAGAGAGCGGAAGGTTGGTGCTCTCTGCCCGCAAAGCCCGTGTATCGGATTCCTCTTGTGCTTTAGGGAGGTGAATTTAGCGTTTGGGAGTTGGCAGTATGTCGTTATTCTTTGTGGGTAGATCTTTGATGGTGTTTTTGCTTTTCCCCTGTAGAACTTAGTATAGAGCTACGCCTCGGTATGTGTGTATGTGCCTAGAGCCTTGTACATGTAACCATGGGTGTTTGTATTTTAGATCCTAGCTTCCACCTTGACAGTAAACATGGGCTGTTTGTGTCCCTGACCCTCACTTCACTTCACATTTTTTTCTGAGTCCATCCGTTTCCTTGCAAATGATTTAATACTCTTTCTGATTGATGAGTAAAATTCCATTGTATGTGTGTACAGCATTTTCTTGATCCACCCATCTGTTGTAGGGCCTCTGGGCTGTTGGCATAACGTGGCTGTTGTGAATAGTGCGGCACTGAACATGGATGTGCAGGTGTCTTCACTGTGGCCTGATGGTTAATGCCCTGAGTCATAGGGAAGTTCTATGTTTAGTAGTTGTTGTTTTTTTTTTTTTTTGGGGGGGGGGTCCAGTCGTGGGGCCTGAACTCTGGGCCTGGGCGCTGTCCCTCAGCTCTTCAGCTCAAGGCTAGCGCTCTACCACTTGAGCCACAGCACCACTTCCGGCTTTTCTCTTTTTGCTTATGTGGTGCTGAGGAATTGAACCCAGGGCCGCAGGCATGCAAGGCAAGCGCTCTACCACTGAGCCACCTTCCCAGTCCTGTTTAGTTTTTTTGAAGAATCTCCAAACAGCCTTCTAGAGTAGTTGTAGTAGTTTAAATTACCACCAACAGGGTTCTTTTTCTCTCTCATGTCCCTGCCAACATTTGTTGTTTGTATTCTCAATGCTGGTCAGTCTTACTGAGGCGTGATAGAATCTCAGTTGATTTCTATTTCCTGTGTAACCAGGGATGTTGAGCATTTACTCAATGTGTTTATTGGCTATTCTTACTTCTGAGAAGGCTATTTAGTTCCCAATTATCAGGTTATTAACTTGGGGGTAGGCAGGGCTTGTTTCTTGAGCTCCTTGTGCATTCTGGACATTAGGCCCTTGTTGGATGTGTAGCTAGAAAAGATCTCAATCTGTAGGCTATCTTTTTAGCCTAATAAGGTCCTTTGCTGTGCAGAAACATTTTAGTTTGATGCATTGACAGCCGTTGAGTCTCCAATTTGCTGAGCCCTTGGGACTCAGAAAATTTCTGCCTATGTCAATGAGTTCTAGAGTTTCTCCTTCCTGTAGTAGTTTCAAGGTTTCAGGTCTATGGTCTGGGAAGGTGGCTCAGTGGTAGAGCGCTTGCCTTGCATGCATGAGGCCCTGGGTTCAATTCCTCAGCACCACATAAGCAAAACGAAAAAAGCTGGAAATGGCGCTGTGGCTCAAGTGGTAGAGTGCTAGCCTTGAGCTGAAGAGCTGAGGGACAGTGCCCAGGCCCAGAGGTCAGGCCCCATGACCGGACCCAAAAAACAAGCAAAAAAAAATCAAGGTTTCAGGTCTGATGTTGAAGTCTTTGATCCATTTTGAATTGGTATTGAGTTTGAAGACATTTGGGCTATATAAGTTCAAGGTCAGCCCGCGCTACATAGTAAGACCCCCCCAAAATGCATGTATAAATAATTATATATGGCTATGTTTTATAGATTATAGTATGTTTACATTGTTGGTTTTTTTTTTGGGGGGGGGGGGGTCCGGTCGTGGGGCCTGAACTCTGGGCCTGGGCGCTGTCCCTTAGCTCTTCAGCTCAAGGCTAGCACTCTACCACTTGAGCTACAGCACCACTTCTGGCTTTTTTCTTTTTTTGCTTATGTGGTGCTGAGGACTCAAACCCAGGGCCTCATGCATGCCAGGCAAGTGCTCTACCACTGAGCCACCTTCCCAGCCCTACATTGGTTTTATATTCTTTTTTTTTTGGTATTGAGGATCGAACCCAGGACATTACACTTTGCTTTTGCTTGGTAAGCACTTTACCAGTGAGCTACATTCTTATAAGAACAAATTTTAAATTTCATAGAGAATTTGAGTCAGGCATCATGGTTTTTGAGAAGCTTTTGAGAAGCTGAGGCAGTAGGGTCATGAGTTCAATGCCAGTCTGGGCTACATAGCAAATCCCTGTCTTAAATTTTCTTGGAATGTGTCTAAGGAACATATAGTGTTTGTTTGGGCCAACTCAAAACTCTCATGGTATCTCATGCCTATAATCCTAGTTGCTAAAATGTGAAGGATCTCAATTTGAAGCCAGCCCAGGCAGAAAAAGTCTAAGACTGCATCTCCAGCAAAGTGTTAAACTGGAGGCACGGCTTGTGAGCAAAAAAGTTGAGCAACAGCTCAAGGTCCTGAGTTCAAGCCCTGGTACCAGCACAAAAACAAAAACATTTTGTGTGTTTGTGTGCACGCACATATAGTACACGAACACTGGTTCTGGCCTGGGCACTGTCTCTGGCCTTTTTTGCTCTACCACTTGAGCCACAGCTCTACTTTTGGCTTTTATTGGTTGATTGAAGATAAAAGTCTCATGGAATTTACTGCCAGGGCTGGCTTTGAACAGCAATCCTCAGATCTTAGCTTCCTGAGTGCCCAGCGAAACGTGTAAAGATTTCATAAGAAACAAGTAAAAAGAACTGTCTGCAAGGCTAGGGATTGAACTTAGGACCTCACATTTGCTAGTATTTTACCACTTGAGTCACACCCCCAGAGTGTGGTTTACTTATTCTTAATGTTTACCACTTTTAAATTGTTTACAGCTGGCTGGGATTGTTGCTTAGTTGTAGAATGCTTGCCTAGCATGCATAAGACCCTCGGTTCATTTCCTTGGTACCACATAAACAAAAAATAAAATAAGCAAATTTTTAAAAAAAAATTTAAACTTAAATTTAAAAATTTTTTAAATTTAAAAATTCTCTTAGGCCGGGCGCTGGTGGCTCACGCCTGTAATCCTACCTACTCAGGAGGCTGAGATCTGAGGATCGAGGTTCAAAGCTAGCCCGGGCAGGAAAGTCCGTGAAACTCTTATCTCCAATAAACCACCAGAAAACCGGAAGTGGCGCTGTAGCTCAAGTGGTAGAGCGCTCGCCTTGAGCTGAAGAGCTGAGGGACAGCGCCCAGGCCCAGAGTTCAAGCCCCACGACTGACCAAAAAAAAAAAACTCTTGAAACAATTTTTTAAAAAATGAATTCTTTGCCATGATGCCATGATACCTATTTCAAGAAGCAAGTAATTCGGTAAAAATAGTTTGGAAGTACCTTGTCAGAATTTACCAACTTTAAGTGAACAACTTAAGGGAAGGAAAAGGAAACTAGAAAATGTCCCACCTCATCTGAGGTGCCCCAAAGAACTTGACTCAGCCATCAGCTTTTTGTCCTGTGCCTCCTCTTACAGGTGTCCCAGGACTTCCCATTTCTCCACCCAAGTGAGACCAGTGTTCTGAATCGCCTCTGCCGACTCGGCACAGACTATATTCGCTTCACCGAGTTCATTGAGCAGCACACAGGCCATGTGCAGCAACAGGTAGGGTAGGGCCCTGTTCTGGGACTTCTGTGCTGTGCTGTCAGCTAGAGCACTGGTGAATCATGTATTGTAAGGGACAGATCTCTGGAAATATGCCTGAATTGGTGAACCACTGGAAATATTTAAGTTTCTTTTTTTTTTTTTTTGGGTCCGGTCGTGGGGCCTGAACTCTGGGCCTAGGCGCTGTCCCTCAGCTCTTCAGCTCAAGGCTAGTGCTCTACCACTTGAGCCACAGCGCCACTCCCGGCTTTTTTCTTTTTGCTTATGGGGTGCTGAGGAATCGAACCCAGGGCCTCATGCATGCAAGGCAAGCGCTCTACCACTGAGCCACCTTCCCAGTCCCTCTAATAAGTTTCTTGTATAAAGCATTTTTAAAAGCCTGTCCTCTAAGCCGGGTGCTGGTGGCTCACACCTGTAATCCTAACTACTCAGGAGGCTGAGATCTGAGGATCGTAGTTCAAAGCCAGCCCGGACAAGAAAGTCTGTGAGATTCTTGTCTCCAATTAACCACTCAGAAAAACAGAAGTAGCACTGTGGCTCAAGTGGTAGAGCGCTCGCCTTGAGCTGAAGAGCTGAGGACAGCGCCCAGGCCCAGAGTTCAGGCCCCACGACCGCCAAAAAAAAAAGCCTGTTCTCTAGTCATGTATCCGTATGCATTTTGTCTTTTATGGGAGGAGAGTTCTTGCTCCAATTCTAAACATACCTGTATTGGTTTTTTGGAAAAGTATAAAAGACTTTTTTCTTTCATTTTTGTGATAAATTAAAAAACATCTTTTAAAATAATCCAAGACCAAAAACAAAATCAGATGGTTGCAAGCCAGTCTGGTGTCTCTGTTTTACCCAGTGTCCATGTTGTGCATACCGTAGCTTGAACTTTATCATCGGGAACTACTGGAATCCTTGGCAGCAACCTCTGGCTACACTGTGCCATCTAACCTGAGCCCAACTTTCCTACTGCATTTGTTGCTGAATTCTGCTATTCTGTCCTACCACCATCAGAACCTGACCGCCCAGATCAGTATATAGCCAGAGAAGCTGGATGGTCATCTATTGTAGCTTGTAGTCAGTTGACTACAGTACTCTACAGAAAAATAAGCGAGCTGGATATAGTGGCTCATACCTATGATCCCAGCTCGTCAGGAGGTAGACATCAGGATGATTGTTAGCAAGACCCCATCTCAGTCAGTAAGCTGAGCTAGGTGTGGTACACCTCTCATCCCCACTACTTGGGCCAACCTGGGCAAAAATGCAAGAACCTATTAAAATAACTAGCTGGGCACCAGTGGCTACTCGTGTAATACTAGCTCTTGGAAAGCTGAGAATAAGAGGATTGCAGTTTTCAGCCAGCTCAGGCAGAAACATTTACAAGACCCCCTTTTAAGCTCCATGCTGGGTGCAGTAGCATGCACTTATCATCCTAAGCTAAGATTGGGAGAACCAGGGTTCCAGGCCAGGCAGGAAAGGAGGTAAACTGGATGCCTAACATACAACTGTCATAAAGCCTGAAATAGGGGGATTGTGGTTCACGTGTGGTCTTGGGCAGGAAATAAGATCCCACCTCAAAATAATGAAAGCAGGGCTGGAGAGATGACTCAAGGGGTCACATACCTGCCTAACAAGGGTAAAGTCATGAGTTCAAATCCTAGTACCACTAGAAACGAAGTAGAATACCCGATTGATACCTAACCCTTTAATGACCGTCTCCCAACCTCCCATGTTGTCTGTCAGACTCATGTTCTTGAGGAATTGCCAAGCCAAGCAGGGGAAGGAATGTTAAGAGGAGACTTGAGGTCATTTTATTTATTTGGTCAGTATTTACCCTCTTCAGAGAACTGTATTAGGAGCTGAGTTGCGAAGGTGAGTATAATTCAAGCCATAAGTATAGTTAAAAACAAAGTGGAACCATTAATTCCTAAGGAGATTCTAAAAAGCCTTTGTAGAGAAGAGGTGCTTAAGCTACGTCCTGTAGGAGGTGTTTTTTCAGAATATTGAAGTATGTATTTGTAATGAGGGCCCAAAGTCCAATGAGATAGAAGCAGAGTATGTCTGGTGAACCATGGAGATATGCAAACAAGACTATGTAGTTGGAAGCAGTAGGAAACAGTTTTGGAGAAACAGTTTTGGTAAAGGCTGGAATGCAGAAGTGATGGTATGTCATGTAGAGGATCTTGTATATCATTCCAGGGTAAAGGACAGATGCCAAAGGTTTTTGAGCTAAGAAAAAAATTGAGTTAATGAAATGTCTCCACAGACATGGTTGATTGTAATATCTGGGACTGCTTGGAAAATTAAACTTTTAAACACCTTAGAAACGTTTAACTTCAGCTGGGTTTTGCTCTCATTGAAGCACTACTCTCAAATGGCATCATTTCAGCAAAGACAGTAATACTACAAATGAAAGGATAATGTCTCCCTCAGATTTCAGCGTCTGAACTGAAGCTGACTTCTTTTTATTCGGTTTCAGGATCACCATCCATCTCAGCAAGGCCAAGGTGGGTTACATGGAATCTACCTTAGGGCTTTCTGCACAGGACTCGATTCAGTTTTGCAGCCCTATCGCCAAGCACTGCTTGATTTGGAGCAAGAGGTGAGAAAGAGGAGATACAGGAAGTAATACTTCTTCTAAGACTGCAAATTCGAGCATGTCTTCAATCTCAAGTAGCCTTTGATGAGGACAGCTGGTTAAGAGTGAGTTATTTTCTATAAGGATGGTACATACAGGGTCTGTGTGATTGCCCGAGCCAAGACCCACATGCAATAGGTCATGGCAAAGAGCCTTTGCAGGGCTGGAAATGTGGCTTAGTGGTAGAGTGCTTGCATGGCTTCCTTGGTTCGATTCCTCAGTACCACATAAACAGAAAAAAGCCAGAAGTGGCGCTGTGGCTCAAGTGTTAGAGTGCTAGCCTTGAGCAAGCAACTCAGGGACAGTGCCCAGACCCTGACAGTTCAAGCCCCAGGACTGGCAAAAAAAAAAAAAAAAAAAGTCTTTGCCTTTGGTTTCTTTGTCATCTAGAAATCATAAATTGAACTCTTTAGATCCTAAAACTCATCCTTGTCAGTCTGTTTTCATACATCCACTTGCTTCTTTTGTGTTTCATTGCAGTTCCTGGCTGACCCTCATCTCCCCATATCACACGTCAATTACTCTTTGGATCAGGTATGCTCTCCCAATAACAAAATGCCTTGGAATTTGTTGTTGTGGTTAGAACAGTTTTGTCCAGAATTTTTTTGCAATTTATATGCTTTGCTAGGTGCTTAGAGTTCCAATTTAGTTCATGCCTGATGTCTCTAGAGAATGCTATCCTATGACTTCAATATTGACAATTACACCAGCCTCTGAAATAGAATCTGCTTCCGGCTGCTACCTTCCGGTCTGCAGCTAACCTAGTCATCAGATTGTATTAGCATTCTAAACCTCCACTGTCCTATTGCATTGCAGTTTTGGTTTGTTCAAAAGCAAAGCATTTCATGAGTTTTCTCCTGCATTTGGTTACATACGTTTTATCTCTGCTTTGCAGTTCCAGCTCCTTTTTCCTTCTGTGACAGTTGTAGTAGAGCAAATTAAGAGTCAAAAGGTAAGAAGTTCCCTTTTTTTGAAATGTTAATAGTGTTGCCTTACACTTTTTTTAGATTTTTTTTTTTGGGGGGGTCCAGTCGTGGGGCTTGAACTCTGGGCCTGGGCGCTGTCCCTCAGCTCTTCAGCTCAAGGCTAGTGCTCTACCACTTGAGCCACAGCGCCACTTCCGGCTTTTTTCTTTTTGCTTATTTGGTACTGAGGAATCAAACCCAGGGCCTCAGGCATGCAAGGCAAGTGCTCTACCACTGAGCCACCTTCCCAGCCCCACCTTACTTTTTTTTTTTAAAGAGTCTTATTTTTAACATTCTTTCAACGTTCACATGTTTATGCCTAGTGACAGGAGTGCAAAAACAAGATATTGTCCTTTCTCTAAATACCTTGTTCAGAAAGGAGAGGTAATATTAATAGATGCACTCAGAAAATATTGCTGAGGTAGGATTGGATACTGTTTGTAAAGGAGAGCAGTTTGTAGTAAAAGTTTAAATTGATAAGAATCTTGAAGAGAAGCAGAAAGAAGGTAGATAGGTTATGGGTAAGGTGCTGAGAAAAAAGGTAGATGGTTTATGGGTGAGGTGCTGGCAGTTTTCTGAGAATTAGGAAGTCACTGGATGAAATCTCAAACGATTATTAAGTACGCTTGTTGACACAAATTTTCACAGTCCCTAATATCAGATTATCTTCTGAGCAGTGAATAAATACTTTAAGATTCACATAAGACAAAGAACCTGCTCTACTGAGAGTTGATCCATATTGGACCACATGGACAGATGGATTCAACATGCTCAGCTCAGTTCTCCTTGTTTTAAGCTCTTCTATTGTGGCTTAGCTTATGATATTAACCTGATCCGTATAAACAGTGGTTAAGCACCTAGTTTGTCACACTGCCACGTTTTAAACACTCTGCTATGTTTGTCATGCAGAAGCAGCAGTAAAGAGGTGCTTTGTTGCCTCAGAGCTGATTCCCCTCATTGCACTACCGTATCCAGCTTTCAGTGTGCACTAATGCCTTCCATAGGTAATTACACTCAGTCCTCCAGCAAATTAAATGTTAGAAATGTTAAGGAATGTGCCCAGTGTCATGAAAGTGCATGTCAGTGGTGGGCACAGACCCAGGTCTGACCCCAGAGAAGGTGCTCTTAACTACTATATTAAGCTACCTCCCACTATGGGAGAGGAATTGGGGCACAGGTGAGGGCACAGGGTTCTACAGCTAGCTTGCATTTCAGTTGACTTTCAGCTTTCACAAGGAAGGAAGTGGAAAACTAAGGCATTGCAGATGGGCAAGCCTTCCTTCCTGTAGCCACCTTCCTGAGGGTGGGTGGGGGCTGACTATAGACAGGCACAAAGGGATTGCTTTCTGTAGTGTGGGATATTGTAAACCTGGATTATGGTGATTGTCACACAATGCTATAAATTTGCTAAAAGTTGTTAAGTAACACACATAAGATACATGATTTTAAGATACATAAGTTATACCACAAAGTGATTAGTTGGAAAAAAAAAAAAAAAAAAAGGACATGGAGACAGAGATTTACCCCTTATAAGTAATCTGAGCTGGGCCTTGGCTTTGGGATTCCAACTCTACATGGCTGATTTCTTCAGGTCTCAAACTTCTCTGTGCATAGAATCGCCCTTGCAGTGTGTTGGAACTCAGCTTGCTAGCTGCTGGGCCCTATCTGAGGACTTGCATTTCTATCAAAACCACTGACGATGCTGCGGGTAATAGTCTGCCTCTGAGAGGTAGAAATTTTATGTAACAGTGTTTCCCCATTCTCCACTGGACCTCTGAGCAGTTGAGCCCTCTTGGATGAGGATGGAATGTATTTGTTTTACTTGATTGTTAAAATGCAATCTATTTGACAAGCTGTATTTTCCACAGATTCATGGTTGTCAAATCCTGGAAACAGTCTACAAACACAGCTGCGGTGGTTTGCCTCCTGTTCGAAGTGCACTAGAAAAGTAAGCAGTGGCTTTATTAGGGATTGTAGATTTATTAGAAAGTCATGATGACTTCTTGTGTTTTGTTTGCAGGTCATCTCAGGTTTTCTTCTGCCACCAGCTATGACCAGGGTAGTAAAGGAGTCAGTGTGACCCTTACAATGCCTCAGGCATTGCGAAGTGAGTTTTGTAAAGTGAAGAATCAAAAGACAAGATTTAGCAAGATTCACATTATGATCCTTCACATCACGTGCAGGATACTCTGGGTTCAATTCCCAGTCTCTCTCTCTCTCTCTCTCTCACACACACACACACACACACACACACACACACACACACACACATAAATGCTGCCCATTTGACCTTCCTGTTCTTTTGGTTTTTTATTTTATTTGTTTTATTTTTTTGGGTCTGGTCGTGGGGCCTGAACTCTGGGCCTGGGCGCTGTCCCTCAGCTCTTCAGCTCAAGGCTAGCGCTCTACCACTTGAGCCACAGCGCCACTTCAGGCTTTTTTCTTTTTGCTTATGTGGTGCTGAGGAATGGAACCCAGGGCCTCAGGCATGCAAGGCAAGCGCTCTACCACTGCGCCACCTTCCCCAGCCCTCTTTGTTTTTTTTAAAAGGTCAGTGTGACATATTGCAAAATCGAAACAGATGGTCTCTGAAGCCCTTTAAACATTTATACTACACAAGTCAACCTTCAGAACAGCTTATTATACTTAGGTGTAGATATATAATCTTACATAGATAATATGATAGATGCTTTTTAAAAGATTTTTTTGTCGGTTATGGAGCTTGAACTCTGGGCCTGAGCACTGGTCCTTGAGCTCTTTAGCTCAAGGCTAGCGCTCTACCACTTGAGCCACAGCGCCACTTCGATTTTCTGGTGATTAATTGGAGAGAAGAGTCTCAGACTTTCCTTCCTACGTAGGCTGGTTTCAAATGGTGAGCCTCAGCTCTCAGCCTCCTGAGTGGCTAGGATTACAGGCATGAGCCACTATTATATATATGTATTTTATAGTTTGCAATGCTAGAAATTGAATCCAGGACCCTACATGATAAACATATTTGTTACATCTTTTCAGGATCTTTTCAGTATGTGCTCTCCAGAGCACATACTCTAATATATAAAAACATAAATGACTTACCATTTGATATTTTTATTCTTTTTTTAGTGGTTCTGGGGCTTGAACTCTGGTCTCATGCTTCCTAGGCTCCAGCACTTGAGCCTCCCCTTTAGCCCCAATTTTACAATTTTTATTTTATTTTATTGTAAAGGTGATGTTCAGAGGGGTTACAATTATATAAGTAAGGTAATGAGTACATTTCTTGTTGAACGGTATTACTCCCTCCCTCATTTTTTCCCACTTTCCCTCCACCCTGGCAATTTTTTTTTAATTTGGTGCCATTACTGACCTCAGCTTAAGTGCTGTCCTTATTTCCTGCCTGCTTTGGCTTCAAACTGTAATCCTTAGATCTCAGCCTCATAAGTAGTTAGGATTACAGGCGAGAGCCACTGGCAATGTTTTATCTCTGGGGTAGGGTCTCACTTAATGTCTGGGCAGCCCAGGCTACAGACTTCTCCACATCCATGGAGATGACAGGTACACATCTCTATGCCAGCCATGATGCTTACCTATAGCTGGGATAACAGGTGCCCACATCAGACCCAACCACTGGATGAGATGAACTTGTATGCCTGAGCTAGCCTCATACCACAATCCTCGGATTTCTGCCTCCCAAGTAGGTAGGATTACAGGTTTGAGCTATCACTTCCTGCTTGATTTTTTTTGTTAGAAAAGAGATTCTATTTAGTTAGTATACAATAAGTAGTAGATTCAAACTCTTGTTTCTTTTCCTATCAACTCTATTTTTGAAAATTTCAATCTTACAAAGAAGTTGTAATAGAAACTGTAAAATACTTGTGCATCTTGGGGTTTCACAAGTTACCATTTTGCCACATTTTTTCGTTTTTTTCTGTACATATCTAAGTGGTACACATATACACATAGACATGCCCCAGACATGGTTGTTGAGGGGCTGGGAGGGTGCTCAGTGGTAGAGTGTTTGCCTTGCATGCATGAGGCCCTGAGTTCAATTCCTCAGCACCACACAAGCAGAAAAAGCCGGAAATGGCGCTGTGGCTCAAGTGGTAGGGCGCTAGCCTTGAGCTGAAGAGCTGAGGGACAGCGCCCAGACCCAGAGTTCAGGCCCCACAACTGGCAAAAAAGAAAGTGGTTGTTGATGTCATAACAGCCTCTAAATACATCAGTCTTTGCCCTATACAACTTCAATACTGTATTTCACCCAAAATTAACATGAATTCAGTAATACACTATTCCAGAGTATATCCACATTTTCCCAATTCCCTTAAAGACCAATGTACCTGATTTTCCCCCAATTGAAAATCCAGTTGATGATTACATACTGCATTTGAGTTTTTTGGTTTTTTTTTTTGGGGGGGGGGTCCACTTTTTTTTTTCTGAGGAATCGAACCCAGGGCCTCATGCATGCAAGGCAAGCACTCTACCACTGAGCCACCTTCCCAGCCCCTTTTGGTTGTTTTTTATTGTTGTTGTTTTGCCAGTTCTGGGCTTGAACTCAAGGCCTAGGCACTGTCCCTGAGTTTCTTGCTTAAGGCTAATACTCTTCCACTTGACCCACAGTGCCACTTCTGGCTTTTTCTGTTTATGTGACTGAGGAATCAAACCCAGGACTTCATGCATGCTAGGCAAGCACTCTACCACAAAGCCACCTTCCCAGCCCCTGCATTTTATTTTAGTTCTTGCACTTTGTTGCATAATACATTTTCATGTCTACTTGGCCTCATGTTAAATCTTCTGACACCAAAAAGAACAAATTTATAGCCAGGTGCTGGTGGCTCATGCTTGTAATCCTAGCTGCCCAGGAGGCTGAGATCTGAAGATCACAGTTCAAAGCCAGCCTGAGCAGGAAAGTTTGTGAAACTCTTATTTCCAGTTAACTACCCCCCCCCCCAAAAAAAAAATGCTGGAAATGGAGCCATGGCTCAAGTGGTAGAGCACTAGCCTTGGGCACAAAAGCTCAGGGACAGCTCATTCAAGTCCCAGAACCAGCATAAGAAAAAACATCTCTGAACTTTACTGAACAGTTCAGACAAGTACATAGGTTGTTCGATCATGAGCAGTAAAAATTCTTTTTAACTCACTTCCTCCATGACTCGCTCTGTCAGAGCAGCAGAGAGCGTGAGCACTATGGCCTGGTCTGGGCGTGGACTCCCCAGGTTCTTCCTTCCCTCTCCTCTCCAGAATCCTGGCCGTGTGTCACGGGGTCATGTATAAACAGCTCTCAGCCTGGATGTTGCACGGTCTCCTCTTGGACCAGCATGAAGAGTTCTTCATCAAGCAGGGTCCATCTTCAGGCAATATCAGTGCCCAGCCAGAAGAGGACGAAGAGGATCTGGGCATTGGAGGACTGACAGGAAAACAACTAAGAGAACTCCAAGACTTGGTGAGAGCACATAAGTCCCAAATGATCCTACCAGGAGGCACGACAGTCTACAGCTCCTTCGTAGTCAGTTGATCCCTCCTCAGCCCATAACCAAGGTACCTCCTATAGTTTGTTTGCAATACTGGGGTTTGAACTCAGAGCCTTTTGCTTTCTAGACTGGCCCTCTTCCTCTTGAACCATGCTTCCATCCCTGTTTGCTGTTTATTTTGGAGATGAAATTTAGCTAGGACCACCCTCAAACCATGATCCTCTGATCTGAACCTCCTGAGTAACTAGTATTAACAAGTATGAGCCACCAGTGCTTTGCTTTCTTTTTAGTATGCAATGACAAAATAGAAAAAGATTATGAAGCCAGTACTGGTGGCTCACACCTGTAATCCTAGCTATTTGGGAGACTGAGATCTGAGGATTGTGTTTTGAAGGCAGCCTAGGCAGAAAAGGCCATGAGACACATCTCCAATTAACCAGAAAAAAAACCCAGAAGTATAGGTGTGGTTCAAGTGGTAGAACTCCAGCCTGGAGCAGAAAAGTTAGTAATAGCATTAGGTCCCGAGTTCAAACCACAGTACCAGTGTGCACATGTGCACATGTAATTACACATGTAATCTTGTCTCTGCAAGTAGTAGTTACCCAATAGTTTTTAAACATGATTTGGTGATTTAGGGATTGTGCATAAGTGCAAATCTCCTTTTCATCATCACTGATGTCATTTCCTTGACTAGCGTCTGATGGAAGAGGAAAACATGCTGGCCCCTTCTCTGAAGCAGTTTTCCCTGCGGGTGGAGATTCTGCCATCCTACATTCCTGTGAGGGTTGCTGAAAAAATTCTCTTCGTTGGAGAATCTGTCCAGATGTTTGAGAATCAAAATGTGAGCCTCACTAGAAAAGGTAGGATTCTCCTTGCCTCGTACATGGCTCTTGGTAAGCTCCTGTGGCCTACAGCCTGCCTGGTACCGAGCAGCTGGAGGGTAGTCCTGACGGTTGCCTTCTCCAGAGCCCTTGCTGTCCCAACTGCCCTTCCTCCTCTGACTGCACTGTCCTGTGCTGCAGGATCCATTTTGAAGAACCAGGAGGACACATTTGCAGCAGAGCTGCACCGGCTCAAGCAGCAGCCTCTCTTCAGCCTGGTCGACTTTGAGCAGGTGGTGGATCGTATTCGTAGTACTGTAGCTGAGGTTTGTCTTTTTTTTTTTTTTGGATCCGGTCATGGGGCCTGAACTCTGTCCCTCAGCTCTTCAGCTTAAGGCTAGCACTCTACCACTTGAGCCACAGCGCCACTTCCGGCTTTTTTCTTTTTGCTTATGTGGTGCTGAGGAATCGAACCCAGGGCCTCAGGCATGCAAAGCAAGCGCTCTACCTCTGAGCCACCTTCCCAGCCCCTGAGGTTTGTCTTTTTGTCTTACAGTGTTTCAGACAGAAAATATGTTGGGTCCTCAGTGCTCGACTTTCCTTTCTTTTTAACACAGTTTACAGCTTAGCTTGAACATAATTGAAGGCAAGAAGAAAATAAAAGCACTCTGTTTTAAAAAGAGGCAAAACTGGCTGGGCGCTGTACCAATGGCTTACACTTGTAATCCTAGTTGCTCAGGAGGCTGAGATCTGAGGATCACAATTCAAAGCCAGCCCAGGCAGGAAAGTCTGTTAGATTCTTATCTCCAATGAAGCACTAGAAAATCAAAGTGGAGCTCTGGCTCAAGTGATAGAGTGCTAGCCTTGAACAAAAGAGCTCATGGACAGTGCCCAGGCCCAGAGTTCAAGCCCAGGGACCAACATTAAAAAAAAAAAAGAGAGAGATCACCTCACCTCTGTATGTATACAACCTGGCTCAGCCTCTCTTCCAAAGAGGCTGGTGTCTTCATCTCTTCTCATTGACTCTATTTCTGCCTTTTGAATATATAATTCACAGAAGAAAATGTACTTTTGAAATTTTGAAACGAATATATTGCTACATACTGTTTGCAATTTGCAAAGATGAAAAGCAAAAACCTGGATTTTGGGATTGGGGATGTAGCTCAGTTGGGAGAGCAAACACTTGCCCATCATCCACAAGGTCCTGGATTTAATTCCCACCATCACCCCAGACACAAATAGAATGAAGCTCAGACTGAAGTTAATTATTTTTTTCTTGCCTGTCTTGGGGCTTGAACTCTGGGCCTGGACGCTGTCCCTGAGCTCCTTTAGCTCAAGGCTAGTGTTCTACCACTTGAGCCACACTGCCACTTCTATTTTTCTGTTATTAATTAAAGAGTCTCACAGACTTTCTTGTCTGGGCTAGCTTTGAACCATGATCCTCAGATCTCAGTCTCCCGACTTGGATTACAGATGTGAGCCACCGGTGCCCGGCTCTGGTTATTTTTTAACTGCTGGGTTTGCCCTGTAATCAACTTTTTTTGTTCTTGCCGTAGCATCTCTGGAAGCTGATGGTAGAAGAGTCAGATTTACTGGGTCAACTGAAGGTAATAATTTAGATATCCTTTAAGCCTTAAAATGTTACTGGGTGGGTAGTGACGTACATTCTTGTGTTTTTTGGTTGTTTTGGTCATGGTGTTTGAACTCTAGTTCTGGGCACTGTCCCTGAGCTCTTCAGCTCAAGGCTAATGCTCTACCACTTGAGCCACAGTGCCACTTTGGGCCTTTTCTGTTTATGTGGTGCTGAGGAATCGAACCCAGGGCCTCATGCATGTGAGGCAAGCACTCCACTGCTGTGCCACCTTCCCAGCCCATGACTTATTCTTTTTTTGGGGGGGGGGGGGTCCGGTCGTGGGGCCTGAACTCTGGGCCTGGGCGCTGTCCCTCAGCTCTTCAGCCCAAGGCTAGCATTCTACCACTTGAGCCACAGTGCCACTTTCGGCTTTTTTCTTTTTTGGGGGGGGGGGGTGTTCTGGTCATGGGGCCTGAACTCTGGGCCTGGGCGCTGTCCCTCAGCTCTTCAGCTCAATCTACCACTTGAGCCACAGCGCCACTTCCGGCTTTTTTCTTTTTGCTTATGTGGTGCTGAGGAATCGAACCCAGGGCCTCTGGCATGCAAGGCATGCGCTCTACCACTGAGCCACCTTCCCAGCCCCCGGCGTGGTGCTGAGGAATCGAACCCAGAGCCTCATGCATGCAAGGCAAGCACTCTACCACTGAGCCACCTTCCCAGCCCCTCATGACTTACATTCTTTAACTGAAAGCATTGGTTGTTTATACCCAGACTTCCACAGTGGATTCATTGCTCTTAATGCTGATGAAAACTGTCATGGGTATTTGGAGCCCCAGCCAATGTACTGAGACAAAAAACAAAACAAAACCAGGATGCCAGTATGACAGACGCATGTTCAGGGAAGCAGAGCATAATGCTGCTGTTGCTACTGCTGCACTGCTCTTCATGAAGAGACAGGTTTCTGTGGAGTTAGTGCAGATTCTATTAGATTCTATTCTCTTGGCCATTTCTCTTTTTGTACTCCATTTTGACTGGCCATCTCTTTCCTGGACAATGGTTCAGATTTTGAGCTTTGGTTTGCGCGCCTGGTTCTCATATCTGCATCCCATAGGGCCTGTCTGGTGGGCTTGGCTAGCTTCCATTCCCCCTGAACCTTGGTGTTTCTCTGTCCATCCCATCCCCTTAAACAGGCCTCCTACACAGCAACTGTACTTTCTCTGGTGTAGTGTTCAGACAGGAATGAGTCCTGCTTATGAGAATCTGCTGAAAATGCCAGTTTGAAATGCCTCTGCCTGTATCCTTCAGACTGAGAAGATTGGGAAATTCTATGTGAAACTGTCAGGACCTCTGACCCTGCTTTACAGAATTAAAAATGGAAATTCTTTCCTCAGATCATTAAAGACTTTTACCTTTTGGGACGAGGAGAACTGTTTCAGGCCTTCATTGACACAGCTCAGCACATGTTGAAGACACCACCTGCCGCAGTCACTGAGCATGGTAATTGCCTGTGGCCCCGAGACCCTGTTCGGTGTTTGCCTATTGCTGCTGTTTTAGGCTGCTCCATAGATGAGCAGCCTGGGGGTACAGTGCTCCAAAAGATGGGGGAGCCTCTCAGGGCAGCTCACCTTAGCACTCTGACCCTTCCTGGAAGAGCAGGCACTGGAGACCTTCAGCCCAGGTATTTGATCTCATTGGTTTATACTGTCATAATAGTGCATATTGAGATTTATTGTGGCTTGTGGTGTTGTACTGGAAATCTTTAGGTTCCGAATCAGGCAGCGTGGCATGGGCTGGGCTAGTGAGAGAGGGAGAATCTGTTTGCTCTCGTCTCTGGAATTTCAGCAGCACGGGCTATGACGGGTGTGGCTTGAACTATCAGTGTCTTCGTTCCTCCTCTTCCTGTATCTTGGGTATGAGTGTTGTTCCAAGACCTCAGAAAAACAAACATACCCTCCCGTGGTCTCATGAGGAGCAGAGAGTTCCAAGGGAACCTAGGTAACATACCTATCAGTGTAAGAAGGTTAAACACAAGGAAATGACCAGCTCAGTCAACTGTCCACTGTTTGACCATTGGCTGTTTCCCATTCAGACTACGTAAAGAAAGCTGGGTAATGGTCAGAGCCAAAATCAAAGAAAAAGAAAATAATCCAGGAAGAAAAAAGAAGGTTCTTGTTTTTCTAGCTTAATAAGACACCTACTATAGTAACATTATTTTTTTGGTTGCAGCTATCACAAAACCCAGTTCAGATTCACTTAAGCAAGGCCAATAAAAAGGGGAGAATGTCAATTCTCCTAACTAAAAGGTTAGAGGCACTGGCTTTATGCAAGGTTTGATCTGATAGCTCACATGATGCTGTAATACTTGGTCTCTCCCTGTCTTCAATCTTTGCCTTTCTTCTCAGACTCTGGTTTGGAGTGTTAGCAACATACCAAGGTTACATCTGAACTATGTTTCTGTTTTATCTTGTGATTTCTTAAAATTGTACAAAGAGGGTTCAGTTGACATCACATTATGAATACAGTGCATCACCCTCCCATTCTTCTCCCCATTTACCCCCCCCCCCCCCCGCTCAAGACCTACAGCCAACATCACAATAAATGGAAAAAACTAAAACCATTTGCTCTAAAATCAAGAACAAAACAAGGATGTCCACTCTTCAGGCCTGAGTACTGTCCCTGAGCTGCTTTTTGCTCAAGGCTAGCACTCTTAACCTGGAGCTTCGTGTATGCTAGGCAAGCCATATTCCCAGCCCCTCCTCTCTTTTTTAATACAAAACTAGAATTCCTAGCTAGAGATTGCTAGGAAAAAAGTCAAGAAAAAGACATAAAGAGGTCCAAACAGGGAAGGAAGAAACCATAAACTATTCCTCTTTGCAGATGATCTTACTTAGAGGCCTCAGAGACTCTATCAAATACCTAGAGCTGATAAATGCCTATGGGAAAGTAGCTGGATATAAAATCAACTCATTATCTTTAAAACAGCTGAACTCATTGAAAATCTGAACACAGCCTCTGGATTGGCGGTTTCTAGTCCTATCACTAAATAAAACTGCGTAACAGACTACTGCAGCCCATTTGATCATGTGTGGCTCACCTGTCTACCCAAGACCATGTTGCCATCACCCCTGGAACTACAGGAATTCTTTGAAGGAGGCTGTTAACCAGCAAGAAAGGATGAGGGACGAATGGTAGTCAGGCAAAAGTTAGTATGTCCAGTGCACCCTACTATTAGCTTTCATGTTAGCCTGTGTGTTTTTTCTTACAGATGTAAATGTGGCCTTTCAACAGTCCGCACACAAGGTGCTGCTGGATGATGACAACTTGCTCCCTCTGCTGCACTTGACAATTGAGTATCATGGAAAGGAACACAAAGGTTTGCTATTTCTGCCTCCCTTAAGGCTTCATCTGTTTACTGTCTCTGCTTCTATCCCCCTTCAGAACTATGAAGGTACCATGAAGGTAGCTTATGGGCCTTAGAAACTACCCAATACAGTAGTCTTAATTTCATGAGGGAGAAAGGAAAGTTACTAAATCTAGAAAGGTTAAGTGAGATCATATTGATAATTTTGTTTTCAATGTTTTTTTTTTAAGCTGCCAGAATGGTCCCTGATACTTACTTCCATCCTCCATAGTTTTTTGTTTTTTCTTTTTTTTGTTGGTCGTGGGGCCTGAACTCTGGGCCTGGGCACTGTCCCTCAGCTCTTCAGCTCAAGGCTAGTGCTCTACCACTTGAGCCTCAGCACCACTTCCAGCTTTTTCTGCTTATGTGGTGCTGAGGAATCGAACCCAGGGCCTCATGCATGCAAGGCAAGCGCTCTACCACTGAGCCACCTTCCCAGCCCTAGTTTTTTGTTGTTAAAACAGGTCCTGGGGATTGAACTCTGGGCCTGGGCAGTCCCTGAGCTGCTTTTGTTCAAAGCTAGCCACAGCTCTACTTCTGGCTTTTTCTGTGGTTAATTGGAGATAAGAGTCTCATGAACTTAGCTGTCCAGGCTTGGGCTTTGAACGTCAACCTTCAGATCTCAGCCTCCTGAGTAGCTGGGATACAGCTGTGATCCACTGGTGCTCAGCTTCCAGGTTTTAAATTGAAAAAAAGATAAAAGCATCTCTAGAAGGCCTTCCAAGAGAGCCTCTCTCCTGGGTTTCCTTGCTTCTCTGCATTTGCATCTGTCGTATGCTCTGCCACTGTCAACTCCATGAAACTATTTCGTGAATGCCATTCTGATAGCTCTCTGGACTGCTAAAGTTGGGATTTCTTCCTTTCCTTCATCAAACATAGGAGATGCTACTCAGACAAGAGAAGGCCCTTCTCGAGAAACCTCCCCCCGGGAAGCTCCTGCATCTGGCTGGGCAGCTCTAGGTCTTTCCTACAAAGTACAGTGGCCTCTACACATACTCTTCACCCCAGCTGTCCTAGAAAAGTGAGTATTTGTTTCTCATAAGTGTCACCACCTGACTTCCAAGGGAAGCCATTTACAGGAAGTAGCAAGAAGCCAACCAACAAGTTTTAACACTTTTTATTCATTTGGCTTCGTTTCTTATTTGACACCAGGTCTCATAAAACTCTCCAGGCTGGCCTCTGACATCCACGGTCTAGGACTATTCTAGTGTGTGTCACTGCACCCAGCTCACTATGTTTTAAATAGTTGTACAAAGCCAAGATTCAGGCATATGGATACTTAAACCAATTCTTTTTTAAAAAATAAGACGTGTCTTCTCGGAATCCTAATCCTTGATTCATAACATACTTACCGGTCCATACAAGACCCTCCTGCCTGAACACACACCAGAAAAAGCACTTCCTAACACAAGCACAGCACTGACAATGTCATCTACTGATGTGTCCTCCCTGACCACCTGTGCTCCTCCAGCTCAGATCCCATGTGTCCTTTCCTTTTTCTGTAGTTGTATCATACATACATGCATACATATAGAGAGATCGATATAGGTATATATGAGAGATACATTTTGCTACTCTGTTTTACTGTGTAAATCAGCTTCAAGTGAGCGCCAGCTTGAGAGCTCAGGAGGCTAGGATCTGAGGATCGTGGTTCCAAGCCAGCCAGGGCAGAAATGTTGATGAGATTCTTATTTCCAATAAACTTACCAGAAAAGGCCAGAATGGCATTGTGGCTCAAGCGGTAGAGCACTAGCCTTGAGCACAAAGAGCCTCAGGTACAGTGCCTAGCCCTGAGTTCAAGTCCCAAAGACTGGCAAAAGAAAGAAAACTAGCTTCAGTATATTAGTCCACATCTCTAGCCAGTCTTTCCTATCTGTCATGGATCCTAGTAGGGTGGAGTAGGGTTTGTGTCTTGACTAACCTGGTGTCTCTGCCCCAGGTACAATGTTGTTTTTAAGTACTTACTGAGTGTGCGCCGGGCCCAGGCTGAACTGCAGCACTGCTGGGCTGTACAAATGCAGCGCAAGCACCTCAAGTCCAGCCAGACCGACGCCGTCAAGTGGCGCCTAAGGAACCACATGGCCTTCTTAGTGGACAACCTTCAGTACTATCTGCAGGTGTGTTCTAAGGGATGCGCAGAAAGAGAGCTAAGGAGAGGTTGAAGGCATGGTTCAGCAGTGGAGCCTGTTGACCAGCAAGTACGAGCCCCAGAGTTCAAATCCCAGTACTGTATGCCTAGGAAATAGGATTAAAGTGAACTTACGTTCTGTGTTGGGCAAAAATGCTGGGGTTTTAGAAAAAAGCCAAGATTATTTTGTGGGGCACAATGGCTTATATCTATAGTCCTAGGTACTCAGAAGGTAGAGATCAGGAAGATCACAGTTCTTAAGGACAGCCTAGCCTGGACAGGAGTTTCAGGCAATAAGAGGCTGGCCAAGCATTAGCCTGTCATCTCAGGTACACAAATCAGTAAGCTGGCTTAGGCATTAATGCAAAACCATATTAAAAATTAAAGCAAGCTAGGTGCCAGTGGCTCACACCTGTAATCCTAGATACTCGGGAGGCTGAGATGTAAGGATCATGGTTCAAAGCCAGCCTGGGCAGGAATGTCTGTGGGACTCTTATCTCCAATTAACCACCGGAAAACTGGAAGTGGCGCTGTAGCTCAAGTGATGTTGAGCTTTAGAGCCAAGGGAAGCACCCAGGCCCAGAGTTCAAGACCCACAATTAACTAAATAAAGCAAAAAGGGCTGGGACATGGCTCAAGCAGGAGAGCACCTGCCTATCCTGCGTAAGGCCCTCAGTTCAAATCCCAGTACTACAAAAAAACAAGTGGACTGGGGCTATGGTTCAAGGGGTAGAGCACTTGCCAACGCATTGAATTCAGTCATCAGTATTGTCAAAAAACAAAACTCCTGCATGGTTGGGCAGTGTGAGTGGAAGTGGCTTTGGTTGGGAAGGAAGATGAAAGGGGCAAAGACTTTCTATTTCATTCTTTCGTTTGCCAGGGAAAGAGTGCTCAGATTGAAAGGTACTAACGCATCATTTCTGTGACTGTACCAGGTAGATGTTCTGGAGTCTCAGTTCTCACAGTTGCTTCATCAAATCAACTCTACCCGAGACTTTGAAAGCATCCGCCTGGCTCATGACCACTTCCTCAGCAACTTGCTGGCTCAGTCCTTTATCTTGCTGAAACCTGTAAGTAAGGATGCTTGGCTTTCATAGACACAGCTAACAGGATAGGAGACTATTAGCACTGTTCAACTACTTTTATAAATATTTTTAACTTATAAAAGCAAAGTTAAGGGGCTGGGAAGAAGGCTCAAATGGCAGAGCGCTTGCCTTGCATGCCTGAGGCCCTGGGTTCGATTCCCCAGTACCACATAAGCAAGAAAAAAGCCGGAAGTGCCACCCCAAAGGTGCTAGACTTCTGTTTTGACTTTCAGTTTGTGACTCTTGCTATACAAGTTACAGATGCCACTCCAGATGGTTTTGTGAATTGAAAACCACCCAAACCACTGATTAGACACTGACCTTGAACAGCCTGCTGCATCCTTGGGGAAAAGGAGAATATCAGAGCAGGTTGTCATCATGAAATCTTTATTGAGTGCTTACTGTATGCAAGGCACTGGGGATTACAGAGGTATAAGTCATGGCTCTGCCCTTAAGGAGCTCACAATCTAGTTGGAGAAATGAAGACATGTACACACAAAGGTCAATAACAACGCAGTTGCCAAGTGAACAACAGTACAGATCCTATGGCAGAGAAGGGGGTTCACTAAAGGCTACTTGGAAAGTACTCCACTGAGAGCAGGCTTGTTTAAACTGCTATGAAGGAGAAGCGCATCACAGACCCAGGGAAATATACTCTGAGGATCTAAAAAGTGATGATGACAAAGTGAACAGAGTGGAGGTTTTGTGCAGGAAGAGGGTTATGCGTTTTGAGAGCTAGCTGGTCTTGCAGACGGCAGTCAGACAGGGAAAGTCAGCTATCAGACTGTGTCTCCAAATAATTGCACAGGTATATATTATCCTAATGCCACATCTGTTTACTGGATAGGTATTTCACTGCTTGAATGAAATCCTAGATCTCTGTCACAGTTTTTGTTCGCTGGTCAGCCAGAATCTGGGCCCGCTGGATGAGCGCGGGGCTGCGCAACTGGGCATTCTTGTGAAGGTGAGTCTATCTACTTGGCTAAAGGACAGAGGCAGTTTTGCCTGTAGACAACTCATGATCTTTCCTCTCTTAGTCCACTCAAGTATTTCCCCAGTATATACACACTGAAATTGCAAGATACAAAGATAGAAATGTTGGTACCACTGATTTTTGAAGTAGATGATTAATGTGCCACCACAATGTCCAGAAACCATTCAGCCCTGAATACTGTGTCCAGCCCACCAAGTCCACACAGGCAGGCGGTGCTCCCCACCGCATTCCCTCCTCTAGCTTCTCAGCGGTCCCTCTCTCAGTGGGCTACAATTACCTCCCTGTCACAAAAGCAAGTTCTCTCTGCCCAACCTTAGTACTAGATGCTAAATTCCTGCTAACAAGGAGGAAGTAATTCATTTTATAGGCCTGGTTACTAAGAAGCCATCTTAGGAGCTACTAGAAGGCTGCTTCTATAGAACTCGCTCTACCCTGAGCTGTTGGCATCGCGAGTCGGTAAGTTCATGGGTTGACAGCTTGCTTGACTTCTTCCTGTAGGGCTTCAGCCGCCAGTCTTCACTCCTATTCAAGATTCTCTCCAGTGTTCGCAATCATCAAATCAACTCAGATTTGGCTCAACTACTCTTACGATTAGATTACAACAAATACTATACCCAAGCTGGAGGAACTCTGGGCAGGTAGGGACAGTCATGGGGAAACTGCAGACTTTGGGTGTGAGTGTGGAGGGATGGTGGGCTGCCTCCAGGTGACGTTAGCATCTATCCCAAACGCCTCATAACAAGGTTCAGAGATGAAATATGTAAACAAAACACCTTTAATAATTTTAGTGGTTATTTTCTACTAAAAATCATTACCGTAGTAAATATATTCTTAAAACTCTCTTAAGTAAGGCTTTCAGTCTTCTGCTAGTTATACATATTGCTGCCATGCTTCACCTCATTCTGACTTGAACTAGCTATGAAGACACAGGTGCTGAGTTTTGCTGCTCCCCGGTTTCTTTGTGTGTCAGAGGTGATTCTAAACCTTGTAAATCATTAACACTGAGATTCAGTGATTACTTGGTTTCAATCAGTCCCACTCAGAGAAGTACAAGAAAGCCTTCCTTTCTAAGTGATTTCACAGAAGCCAAACTCTTTTGAATGTGTTTTATAAAGCTGTAAAGATGGGGAGGCATGATAAATATTTAATACATCTGTTTTCTTTTATAGTTTTGGGATGTGAACATTTCTGGCTCATAAACTGAAGTCTCACCACATTCCCGAGTCTGTAACAGAAGATTCAAACAAACATCTCAATCCTCCAGCAACTCACCAAATGCCTACAGCCTGGTGAGAGTTCTACCTTTTCTCCTAGAAGCCATGCAAGCCATGCAGAAGTACAAATCCTTCCATCACTCCCAGGGGAAGGTAACGGCTGCTCCTTAGAGATTCTTTTTCACCAAGAGAACCTGTGGGTCAGTCAGCTGTCCCTTGCTGACCATGCAGGGGCCCTGATCCTTTACAGTGAGACTGCTGTATGCTCATTTTAGGCAATAGCAATTTACCACTCAAGATGTGAAAGGTACTTCATAAACAGTAGAGATAATGAATTAAATATATTTGATTCAGTTTATGAAAAAATAAAGTTGTTTATAAATAAGTCAGCCGCTAGATTTTACTTACCAACCAAATAAAGGCTTTCCCCTCTGCCCACCAAGAAATTTATATACACACATTATCTTTCCTCCTTCAGAAATGTGTGATTGACAGCCTCCACCCACTCTTAAGGATCTTCAAAACTGTGAACCTGAAGAGTTTGGCCAGTAAGTTCCAATTCTTTCAGACTAGTGAAAGGGAAATTCTGTCTACTGCATTTAAGAAAAACTAGAGGTCACACTGGAGCTCCAAATGTCTTATCTTAAATCACGGAAATTGGTATTTCCCTCTTGGCCCCCAACTACCCCTGACAATCATTTAAGGTTCACTTCAACATGAAGAAAATAAACAAGATGCAAAGTGGAAAAGAATACAGTATTCTGGACTGCTTCTAGTCCAGTATGGTCTTCATCTCCACATTTCTTACTACATACATCTTTCATTCCTGCAGCTGCTAACTGCCCATAATGCAGGAGTTGACAAACAGGCCTGCTGTGCATCTTTTAAGTACAACTATATTGAAACTTGGCTTCATTTACCTGTTTATGGTTCTTACTCTTCTTACAACAAAGTTCAGTAGTTGTGGACCGATTGAATACCCACCAAGCCTAAAATAATCACTATTTTGATCTTCACAGAAAGAATGTGTTCTTTACAGAATGAGAAGACATTAGCAGGAATGATGCTAGAGGGGAGATAAGGAACAGCTTCAGCAACCATGCCTACCGTAATACAGTAATAGGAATGACTCCCACTAGTTTATAGTCATTCTCTGTTCATTTTTAGCGATTCGTCCTTTTCCCTTTCAGCTCTGAAATTAGTAGTCTCCTTACAAATCAGTAGTGGTCCAAAAACTTTAGAGCTCTCCCAACCAACTTTTGGCGCAACTATTCATCTGGGTTCTCACCTGCTTGAAATTGTGTTTTTCAGAAGTATGATATTTTAGGCAGCCTGGGCTAAATTTTAACAAGAATTCCACAGAATAAAGCTCATTTCTAAATTATTTCTGCTGGTTATCTCCTAAAATTAACAAGCCTATTGAAAGCCTCAGAAGGAAGGTACTATGTTTGTTGTTCTGAGATTAAGCTCAAAGAAACATGAAGGAATCCCAGTTACTACAACCAAAGAGATTCAACATTTATTTTATCATAAAAGTCCAGCAAATAAAACTATGTACAAGATCCATGCAAAGAATCCAGTTACACACAAGACACAGTTAAAACCTGATTAAAAGACACATTTAAAACCCGGTTAAAGGACAATCTCACAATAATAGCAAGGAATGAAACTGGTAAGACCAAATACCTTCAGTGAGAAACATAATCGTGTTTATATTTTGGATGCTGCTTGAATCCAATTCTCTCCCCAACAATGAGGCACTGGATCACCCACTCTTGTGAGACCACCGGCAGCTGCAACGCTTCAGCACATTTCAGCACCGAGGCTGGACATGACGGGTCCGTCACTACCACATCAAACACCCCTAAAGCAATGTCTGTAAGAAGTAGGGAAGCGTGAGTCATGTTAGGCCTCCGTTAAAAAGGTGGTTCACACTTATAATCCCAGCTACTCAGGAGGCTGACATCTGAGGATTGCAGTTCAAAGCCAGCCCTGGCAGGAAAGTCTGTGAGACTATCTCCAGTAAACCACTAAAAAAAAACGGAAGTGGTGCTGTGGCTCAGGCGGTAGAGCGCTCGCCTTGCGCTGAAGAGCGCAGGGGGCAGCACCCAGGCCCAGAGTTCAAGCTCCATGACTAACCAAAAACAAAAAGGTAGATCCCACTCTCCCCAAACCCTATTTTGTTAAACCCACCACTCCTGCTGCTCACAACCAAAAATAAAAGTTATACACTGGCCTTATAGAAATGTTTATGGGACATACCACAGAAAATTAGCAAAGACACGAACTGTCTAGTGCACTCATGTCCACTCACCTCTTAAAGGTACTGTTTTAGCAATAGGAATAAAGTCAGTCAACTACCACGACTGAGACTGGGACCACGTGGCCTTAAGCCATGGTCCAAGGACATTTCTGGACCAAGGACATGCATGCTTTCCAGGTACCTTTGTTATGGGCACTTGAATGGTGCTGCTTCACGGAGGCTGCCCCACCAGTCATGAGGATCTCAGACCAGAGCTCCAGGAAATTCTGCTGTTGGTCTGACACCAACAGTACCTTCAGATTGTGGAAAGGATTTTCACGGGGTTGCCTGTGAAGGAGTAAGAAGACCTTAGTGTAGCAGAACATATCCAACAAAGACCCTTCTACAAAGGACTTGAGCACATCTGAATGGTATCAAAACTGAGCCTCGTATTAGGGAAATTGTCCCTGTTCTCTTTTTGTGAATCATGTTCCCCGGCTACTCTTCAGATCTCTGTCCAGGGGCTGAGATCTTGCTCCTCAGGTGTTTAATTGTGCTTCAATGCTTTAAAACTTAGGTCTTCTTTCAGGTAGGGAATTCTGAACCTATATAAAAGTCCTCCCATATTTTCAAAGGATATCCACCAACATAGAGATAACTAAACTAGAAATGCTAAAATAGTTTGAAATTGTGATTTATTCTACTGCAGTCTATTTTCTGGAAATGCTCATGCAGAATTAGATTCTCCTTTCAAATGCTTGCTGTCTCCCTATTTAGCTCTAGATGGTCGTGGAACTGTGGGACAGGCTCTCAAATACGTACCAGTCTAGAATTCTTTGCTCTTCAAGGCTGTAGCCAGCTGGCAAGAGATAATTACGGTAGTTCTGGAGCTGGTTGGCATGGCAACTGTCATGGACCCAGACATGAGACACACACGGAATCCCACTGGCAAGGCACAGGAAGTACTTTCGGGTTCGACAATGCTGATCAGCAATTAGGAGACATTGGTAGGCTGTGTTACACTGAAAGAAAAGGACAGAGCCAATAGTTCTGGTGATACCTACAGAAACCTAAATAGGAGCAGATCTAAAGAGTTCCAAATGCTAACCAAAATAAGAGTCATATTTCAGTTCTGTCACTGAGAAGCCCAAACTGCCCAAACTTCCACAGACATTTCTCTGTATTCATCTACAGCTTTCTGAGGGCCTAATCCCCAACTGTCAATGGCCCATGTCATGCTCAGCCTCAGGAATACTGATATAGGAAGTTCCACTAAACATGGAAAATCAAATTCAAGTAGTCCTAGGTTCTAACTTTTCTTTTGGAATACAATAAAAATTCTACTTCATGCAGCAACAGTTTGACAGGTTCCCTGTTCCTAAAACCCCTGGCTACTTTATCCAGCCCCCAGACCTTTGCTCCATGCACAAACTCCTCTCACCTGGGCTTCATTGAAGTCTTCGAGTATATAGCCAGCTCCCGCGCGAAGCTGGGATTCTGTGTACTGCTTGTTGAAAGGTGGAATTTCTAAAAACTCTAGTTTAAAAAAAAAATAGCAAGATAATTATTGAGCTAGTGGATTCCTACTGGCTACTCTGTATGCCTGTTTATTGTGCCTTTTCTACTCTTCAGCTACCTTCACAGCAGGGTGTCCCCAAAGCCACAAGAGACTTCCCCATGGGTCATAATATCTAATTTGAGACCTAGAAAATGCTATGAGAGAAGGGACAGAGTCAAGTGTGGTGGTACACAACTGCAATCCCAACTGTTCTAGAGGCTGAGGAAGGAGGATCACTTGAGATGACAAGTTCAAGACCAGCACGGGCAACACAGTGAAAATCCATGTTAAAAAAGGAGGATGGAGCAAGAACAGGAGGACTGGGAATAGGAGAGGTGGAGGTTGCTCTTACACCTAAGAGCAGCAATGTTTCCTGCACTAAGACTGAAGTCAGTCAGGGGCCGTCACAGGAATGGACATGAAGCTTATTCAAATCTGAAGAACCCTGATATCTGGAAATTGGCCTTTTATCGACCCTACAGCTTTTCTGCTGCTTTACACCCATTTCCTCTAGCTCTGCCTTCAAATTCCCACTTGATCAGCATCTTTAACCCCCTTACAACTAACACTTGATAAGAATGTGCAAAGAAAGTATGGTTTTAAATTTTTTAACTGATAAGGGAACTATGGTTTTAAATTTTAAACGGATTAATCAGAAAATCCTGTTTCAATCTTTTCATGGAAAACTATCTACCTTTGATGATCTTGAAGTACCTCAGGACACTGAACATCAATGACTGCTCTACAGTCTTGAGGGTGAAGCAGAAGGTATGAGAGATGAAGCTGAAGCTGTAATGACCCTAGGCAATTTGAAACTGCTTCTTTTGACCAAATATCTAATTTGAGCTTGTTTTCTGGTCATCTGCTCCTCTCTTATATAAATAACACATTAAAAAAAGAAGAAAAGCAAGACATTAGAGATTTTAATTAATAGTAAGTTCTGGGAAATTAAATTCATTAAATTCATTAAAATCTTATCACAAATAAAAATCCCAACCCAGTGCATAAAGTTTAGTGCCGAGACCACCTCTCTGCCTCCACCCCTGCGGGTAGAAGCTGGTGGAGCGCAGCACTTGCAGAGCAGTGCTTCGGTGGCCTCCTGCCCACGGAGCTGCTCTGGCAGCGCCTCTCTTCCCCTCCTCTCTCATCTTTGCTTGACTCAGTGTCTCCATGGTTTTTTGTTTTTTGAGGGGGAGGTCCGGTTGTGGGGCCTGAACTCTGGGCCTGGGCACTGTCCCTCAGCTCTTCAGCTCAAGGCTAGCGCTCTACCACTTGAGCCACAGCGCCACCTCCGGCTTTTTTCTTTTTGCTTATGTGGTGCTGAGGAATCGAACCCAGGGCCTCAGGAATGCAAGGCAAACGCTCTACCACTCAGCCACCTTCCTAGCCACCTTCCCAGCCCTCTCCATGTTCTTTTTTTTGTCGGTCGTGGGGCTTGAACTCTGGGCCTGGGCGCTGTCCCTCAGCTCTTCAGCTCAAGGCGAGCGCTCTACCACTTGAGCTACAGCGCCACTTCCGGTTTTCTGGTGGTTTATTGGAGATAGGAGTCTCACGTTCTCTCCTGCCCGGGCTGGCTTTGAACCGCGATCCTCAGATCTCAGCCTCCTGAGTAGCTAGGATTACAGGCGTGAGCCACCAGCGC